AAATGTAACATAAGATTTCCTCAACAATATTGTGAGGTTGTTTTCAAACAACTTACTGTGTTTTATTTCACTTATAACAGGGTACAATGCTGTAACCATGACTTTTACCATCATGAAGCATAGGACAATATTGCAAACTATATATAATCACAATGTTAAGCCCATTTGTTTACTTTGCTAAAGCAAATTTATTTGTTCTTTTTAATTTTTTTTTTTTGCATTTACATTTATCAGAAGAAGTTCAAATCAAACCATGCTGTTATTACCATTTATCTAGGCAGAGAATTTGGACTCGACTGTGTGCTTTAAGCGAAGGCATTTGAAATCTGGGAGTAATTGACTTTTTCTGGCATTTGGTACGTGCTTAGAGCTGAAAGATTTTCACTGATTTCCAGCGATCTCAGCAGCAAGCCCAGGACAGGCAGTGGGGGGTGAAATATGTGGAGCTTGTTAAACTGGGAAGAACAGAAGCTGGAGAAGAGAGTGGATTCACGCAAATACTTAAAGTTGTTTTTCTTCTGGAGAAATAAAAATGACACTTCTTGGAAGACAAGAAGTCTTGGGGCTATGCTAGTTACCAGCCCGTGTGTGTGAATGCAAAGTTGTGGCATGCAGAGAGCCTATCCTAATGACTGAAATGTTTCATTCAATGTTTCTGGAATAGCTGCAGTGGGCCTGTACTGTCACGTAAGTGTATATATAGCGTTACTTTATTTGAAATGAACATTTATTTTGAGGTGGACTTTTTACTTAATTCTGCATTAGCTCTTACATAAGAGGTCTTACTGTTATGACAGCATAGGTGAGTGTATGCAGCAAGCTCAGAAATAATGAAAATCTTAATTTGCTCTAGATCGGAAACCACTGCTTGTTTCTGCACTTGCAGTTTTAGTAACTGCGATTTGTTACATGTTCCATTTCAGAAAGGGCCAAGTCCATTTTGTGGTTTTAAGTCTTTGCAAGTCTTCATTTAGGAATGAGTGCATTATATACAGAACAGTCAAGTTCTTAGTGCTTTTGTGGCTAAGAATTAAATTCCTGATGATGGGCCGTGGTTCATCACATAACTTGGAGAGAAAGCTTATACGTGCTGTGTGCCATAGGAGACCCTCATAGGTTACCTGAGGAGTATGCAGTGCTTGTATTTGACATTAACGTGTCACATTCAAAGCAGGAGTTTGGGGCTATATCTATGCCAAAAAAAAAAAAAAAAAAAAAGGGAAAAAAAAAAAGAATAATTGGTCAGTGGCCAACATCATAGTGTGGGAGCTGGTTTCCATTTGGCTTTCAGATTGCTATAAAGATTGCTTCAATGAAAAAATGTTGCAGTTCTGATTCTAGCATTTGCTCCAAGAAGATTTCTGTCAAAAAGCAGAATGAAATGGTTTTACCTCCTCAACTGCCCAGGTAGTGCTGTTGGTGCTGCTGGGACTGCTTTCCCCCCAAGGGTGCTGCCGTAGCTGCTGCAGTAACGGGCACAGTTTGTCCTCCAGTTTTCTTTTCCAGCATTAAAACATTGATCCCAGAAGTATGAGCTCTGCAAAGGCTTCTGCTTGGAGGGCCTGATCTGAAGCTTTTAGACATCAAAAGAACATTTCCCAGTGTGGTTACAGCTCTGGGATGGGACTCGGTGCTCAGTGTTGTTCACGTACCATGATTTTCACTAGGAGCCGAGGCTCCGAGCGCTCCTGCAGCAGCTGACTATGACTCACTGTCCCACACCCCTGCTCTCAGATGTCCCTGTTCATTTTTTTTTTCAGAGGGGAAAAAAATATCTTTTCCAGTATATGTCCTTCGCCTTTTTCTTTCGCCATGGATATTTGAGCAGGAAAACTAACGGATGATCTTTTCTTTGTGTAGCACAGATTTCACAGTTTTGTTGCTAACAGTTGCTGAGAAAATACTGCTGGAGTGATATGTAGAAAATTAGGGGGATTGCGATTTCTCCTGTAAATCCTTTCTTTTTGGTCAGAGATAGTAAATAATCCACAATAGACAACAGAGAAAGTCTAATGCCTTTACAGAAGCTCTTATAGCACAAGCACAGAGATGCAGTATGTGGCTATGCTGGGGTAAAATGTAGCACCAACAGGAGTGAATCTATGCAGACCGACATTTTATCTCAGTTTATTAGCAATAATGTTAAATATAAATGGCATAATACAGGACTACAATAGACAGACCTACAGCCTACAAGTATGGAGTTTTTTCTTCACAAGAGAAGACCAACGTCCCTCTTCCTTCCCACCCCACCAAAAAAAAAAAAAAAAAAAAAAACCACTCAAAAAAGTAGTCCATCTTAATTTCATACCTTTAATGAGTAGGAGAGATGAAAGAATTAGAGGTTGAGTGACTGAATATTGTCCTTCCAGTGGCATTCGTATGTAAAATTAAATAAGCTTTAATGATAATGTATTCCTTTATGCATTCTGACAATTAATGGGCCAGAAATAAATTTAAAAAAAAAAAAAATACAGGTGCACTGTACCGGGACCTTTCCCTCTCCTTGCTAGTCACTGCATTTAGCACTAGCACTGCACTAGTGCACTGATGGCACTTACTTACTTTTCTTCCAGTGCTCATCATGGATTAGTGTAGTGCAGTTTGCACATCTGGACTGAGCAATTCTTCTGTGCATTTTCCTGTATATGCAAAATATTCCTCTCATATCAACTTCCAGAAAGGAACCAGAGGGTCAGGCTACATCTGGCTGTCACTCCTCTTAGCTACAGCCATCAAGCTGTTTAGAGGTGGTGACAACATCAACTGGCTGGTGCTCAAGGTGACACATGAGGTCTGGGGTCTGTGCAGGAGGGCCCATCAGTGGGTCAGCTCAGGGAGGCCTGGGGCTGAGCCTCAGGGAAGCACCCAGGCCCATGGGCAGGGATGGGGGGACTGGTCAGTGGGCCAGCAGGGCTACCAAGGCCTGTTGGTGCACTTGGGCTTACCAGGTAGGTACAGATCCTGCTGCACACATGACGTGTTGGGTAAACCTCTCCTTTAGAAGATGCTCTGTGGAGTTAAAAAGTCATCTAATACTTCTGTCTGTACAACTAGTGTCATCACTGGTTTTCTAAAGCAGCAGATGAGGAGCATCTTTTCCCTCCTATAAAAAACATCGTTTCGGACTGCTACGGAACAGGAATGTATTGCAAAGCAAGAGAGATCTCTCTAGATACTCTTACATTGCTGTGTGTATATATGTTTCTGAGGCATAGTTTTACCTGTACCTTTTACTAGGCTTTGTAGAATACTGTTTCACTGATTGTGTTGTTTCTTTCTCTGCCTCTTAATGCTCTCACACTATATGGTTGGACTCGATTTTGTCTCCTGTCTCTGCTAATTGCACTTGGATAGAGTTACGTGTTGGACTTCTCATCCTCATTGAAACACAACTCCGTTAGCTCACAAAATGGATCACCCAGGGCTATGTCCTGGCCTACAAGTCAGTCCTGTGTGGCAGCCTCAACTGCTCCAAAAGTCTCTCCAGCCGTATTTGGTTGACCGTGTCCACAGCTAGCTTTTCCTCATGCCCTATCAAAGCATCTGACTGATAACTGTTTTGGCATCATCTCTTCATTAACGTGTGTGTGATGGGATACCCAGGGAAAGAGTAAGTTGCTATTGGCCTGCGAAAAAAAAGCACTTATTTTTTGTTAAGAATAGATGACTTCATTGTTTATTATTTTGCCTTTGATTAAACATTGACTAGTAACAGAATGTATGGGAAAAATAATCAAGTAGTCAAGATGCTTTTTTTGAAACCAGGAAAGTGGGCAACGCAGTGTGGTGTGTTAGAGATGCACATGGGTTAGTTATCAAAAGTCTTAGCAGTGTTAGAATAAGTAGCAGAGTAGAACAGAGGTCAGCTGCCTTAAAACTATGCTTGATATTCTAGGCCCTTCCTGAATCAGAGATTGATGAGATTGACAGTAAATAAAATAAATGTAAGCAAGTCAGAGATATGCCCTGGTAAAATAAACAAATGTGCCCTCGGTACAGGTACAAGCTATGACATTTTTTGGGAATAATCATCTGCATAAATACAAGATGGGAATAAGCTGATCTGACAGCAGTTCTTTGGAGGAGAAAAAAAAGAGTTTATAGTAGATTGCAAGGCAAATGCAAGTCAGCGAGTTCATTGCATTGCATAAAAGATAAGCACCATACACAGATGCATGAGGAAGATTATAGTTTAAAGGGCATAAGAAGTAATTTCTGTGTCGCCTTCACCGTGGAACAGCCTCAGGTAGTGTTGTATCAAGTTGCAAGAACCCTGCCTAAAAACTTTCATTCCAAGAACTTCATTTATGATGAGAATAATGAGAAGGCAAGAAGAGACAGCCTATGTGGAAAGATTGACCAGCTCAGGGTAGGTTAGCTGACAGAAGGTTTAAATCCCGGTAGGCAGTTTACACACTAACACACACACACACACACACACACACGCATAAAAAGCTTGAGCAAACATGAAAGAGAATTAACTCCTTTCTGTGGTGGCATTAAGTAGAGGGCTGAAGAGAGCATTAGGTAATGGGGTGAAGTGTTAGCTATGTAAAGGTTATGAAGCACAGGAATACATTGCCTAGGGAGGCTGCCAAATCTCTGTTATCAAAAGTCTTTTAAGAAAAAGCCATGCAGACATCTGTCAGGCATGATGGTGTTATTTTGCTTTGAAATACAAGGATGGTTTAGAGAATCTCAGGAATTCACTGTCTGCCTTGTGATTTAATGATGGTGATAAGCAGTGACAGGACAATTTCCTTTGCAGGATCTCTTAATGCATTTTCTTCTTACTGAAGACCATGGAGTTCTACCACTTCATTGCCAACTTCAATTTCCTTCTGTTCTCCACCCTTTTTCTTCTCCTCAGGCATCATCTCTCAAGTGTACTCTCAGCTGTGGACCTTATATCTAGAGTTAATATATCTCCTCCCATTTGTGCATCAATTTATACAATAATTAATCCACTGAGAAAAATATTCAACTTTTTTTTGTAGATTTATTTGAAAAGCAGTGACCTTGGAAGCTCTGTAGATGAAGTGGAGCGACTGATCAGGAAACATGAGGCTTTTGAGAAGCTTCTGGCTTCACAAGATGAGAAGGTACAAACAACAAATAAATCCAACAGGTGGAAAGATTTTTATTTTATTTTACTTTATTTTTAGTATGGCAACAGCATGTTTCTTAACATATCCTTACCATTTTTAGTTCTTTCCAACAAAAAAGAAAGAGAAAATCTTTTAGATATGGAAAAGAGCCTGTTTTGCTGTTTCTTTTACTCAGTTTGGAAGCACAAAAGTGTAACTGCAGATTTGTTTTCTCCTTAGATGATGTCTCTTCAAGAACAGGCAAGCAAGATAGAGAAGACTGGTGGACTGGAAGGACTGCAGATCCAGCACAAACTGAATGCAATCCTAGAGAGGAGGCGGCAGATCAAGGATCTCTCCCAGAGCAGGCGGGAGAGGCTGCAGACAGCCCTTCTTCTGGCATTTTTCTACCAGAACCTGGGAGAGGTAAGGGGGATTAGATTGGGAAGGGACTGAAAGGCTGGGGGTCAGCCTACCTCTGTTGGATGAACCTTGCCGGAGTGCAGGTGGACTGATAATCCCAGGTATAGCAGCTCCAGACTCCCATGAAGGAGTAAGTGCTCCAGTGCATTGGCTGTTGCTCTACCCCATCATCATGTTGATTTGTGACTACTTTACATCAGGAACGCCGCTAAAGTAAAGCTAATGAGAAAGGAGAAAGAAGAAAAAAAAAAAAAAAAAGAACTGCCAACCACTGCTTTGTATCTCCCTTGGAGGGGAAAAAATGGATGTTTGAGGTTGGAGTGTATACAAAGTGGAAAAGAGTATGGGGGAGGGCACCAGGCTTTGCTAGAGAGTGTTCACTGAAGACCTCTAAGCCAGTGCTGTAACAGCACCTCAGCTGCCCTGCACTTGTCTCTGGAGAGCATGTTTGTCTCTCCAGTTCTGGCCTAAGTCCTGCAGTCCTGTAGCTCTGCTCCTGGCAAAACTGTTGGAAAGGCATACGAGGTCACCATTTCAAAGGGCAGCACAATGTGTGGGTGAAAAACGTGCTAGCATCCTCTGTGCTGGCATAAACAGCAGGCCCAGGGAGTCATTTTTAAGCCCTCATCCTGGTCTGGAACACACCCCTTCTCCTGCTGCATCCCCTGGAGTGTCCCCTACAGTAGGAAGAAAACCTGCAGGTACTTGGTCACCTCCCAGCCCACGTGAAGGACATACGTCCTGACACAGGTCCAATTAGGATTGTCACTAAAGGAAAACATATGCTTGTAATACAGCTCTTGCTGACAGCCATCTTTTAAGACAGTAATCCAAAAATAAGCAGTTTCTAAAATTGCATTTGTAGGATGATACATGTGGAACTTGCCTAAAAGTAATCAGACATTTAAATACTCTCTTCTTTGGCTACATTAAAGAGCCAGAGCTGCACTCTCTTTTTTAAATAGATTGTATCAGCCAAATATTGTCCTGTTATGTGGCTAATACTTCTCCTGTCACTGGCAAGCCACCTTACAGCCAACCCACCTTGTAGAACAGCAGAGGAAGCAAATGAAGTGGAGGATGCATTGCACAGTGCTATTATTTTCAAAAGGGCAATGTACACCTGATGGAAAGGTCACAGGGTTGTAAACACCCTCCTAGCAGAGGAACTGTCAGTGCTCTCCTAGGCAGATAATCAACCCACGAGCTAGGAAATTTTTGCATTTCCTCCCTGCCATCTCTCTATACTTGTCAAGTCAGTGCTTGGGATGGAATGCCCCTTCATTCTGTTTTTACTGAATTGCTCTTCTAGAGCCCGGGATCTGGCCCACTCTATTAAGTAACATTTCCCTTTCCTCATCTAATATCCCCTACATTCACTCAGCCAAGGTTTCTCTAGAGAGGTTTTGCTCTTACACTAGCTGCTCCTTTACCTAGCCAATCTAAACTCATTGCCTCCCCCTACAGAATGTGAATGCCACCAAGGAATTCTAAAAAATTACAGTCATATGGCTTTTCCTCTTGGGTGGGTAGAATGGAATATTTCATTTCATTCTGATGATGTTCTGGGTGTGCACAAGTTCTTAGATGAAAATGGCTCCCAAAGGACAGTTGAATTGCAGGGATGAGTTTTGAGTTTAGCTGTGAAAGCAGTGAGATCATCACTTATTCTGACCTATTAGGAGATCCAGCCCCATAGCTCAGGTCCCATGAAAACTCCTGCAGTCATCTTTAGTTACTCTCATTGACCACGCACAATTTTTGTATTGGCAGAAAGTAGTGATCACTGATCACTAAATGGCTCTGCTCACGTCTGTCATTAGCCGCCTGCTTAGTACTGACAGCAGGAGAAAAATCACCCTGTGAGTGGTTATGTGTAGGGGACCCATTTATTTCTCAGTCTCACTGTACCTGTAGCTTCGTCCATTCAGATGAGAAGCCAGTTAAGTGTCCTTAAAGCGCTAATGTATGGCTGGATAATGGGAGAAGGCCCTAGCTTGTGAGGAGAGTGTCAGAAATGAAAAGAGCAGATGACAGTTTGCCGTCCTGCACAACCTTGACATAAGGCTGTTCTTTGAGTTTCTAACTGTACTTGAGAGGGGAATGGTTTTTGGAGGCTGTGCTGTTAATGTTAGCTATTTCTGTTGTTGTTGATGCAGTCATAATTGCAACAGTTGAAGCAACATTTCAAAACATTAATTAACAGGGAAAAATCTTCCTGTTGTCAAGTCTTGTGTGCGTTTAGTGCAGTTCTACAAGGACAGTTGAGAGACTGAAGCTGATAAAGCTGGCAACAATTTACTGTTCTTATGTAGTCAAAACGCTGGTGCACTTCAGTGGTCTGAGCGCAAGATCAGCTATAAGCTATGCCAAGTGTTCAGTTCTCAGTGCCTTGACAGATAGAAAATGTTTATTGAAACTGATATAGAAAATGATAGAAATGTTCAATCCTCAGTGCTGAAGATTGAAGATTAGACAACTTTTTTAAAAATATGGAAAACTAACTCTCCTGTTGTTTATTTTATTCTCCCTGTGTTTAAAACCCATACATTTGAATCTTAATATTCCTAAGAAATAATTTCTTAAGAAAAATATGATTCCGTGTAACACTTACCTGTTAGTCCTCAAAGTCCTCTCTGTGTCAGAATCCAACATTCTTGGTTAGAGCATTTTGAATGAAGAGAAGAAAGTGCAGAGTTTTCAGAGTTGTTGGATTTCAGATAATTTGACTCATTGATCCTATGAATAAGGTTTTATTTGCTTCACATTGTTCATCTAGATCTCACGGCATCTCTGAAATCAGGAAATGTTACTGCTGTTTTGTAGATGAGGTACAGAATTTTTAAGAATCTCAACCCATATTACAGGTCAGTCAGTGTCAAAGAAGATGAGATTCAGAGCCCTAAATCCAAGGTCCAGCTGTTATAATCTGATCATAAAGGTGTCTACCATGTTAAGCCTGCATATCTGTTCGAAGGTCTAATCCAGAAGATTGCATATTCTCTTTATGGCTTGTGATGAAATGTGGGGCATGCAAGGTATTTTTCATTACTCTTGTGGTCATATAAAAAGACTTCTCATTCCTAGTGGCTTTTATTTCCTGTCAAGTTCAGAACGGCAACCTCAACTGTCGGTTCCTTGCTCACTCTACCTAGTCCAGGCTCAGTCAGCTGCACAGAGCAATGGTTTACTTTGGATCAAGGCTGCAGGATGGCATGTAGTGGTTGTGCTAACTCTAATGCTTCACATGGCTGCAGGCAGAAGACTGGATCAGTGAGCGCATGCAGAAGCTAGAAGATCCTTCCATACAAGACCCCAGCAACCTGCACGACAAAATGAAGCTGCTACAGAAGCATCAGGTCTTTGAGGCTGAGATTCTAGCAAATGAAGAAATCATCACAGCTGTTAGTAAGGTAATGTTCACAATCTGCCATTGTTTTTTAGAGATTACTGAAAAGTTCTGTCCAAAGAAGGACGGGGAGATGGAGTATGTAGTTTGTTCACCAGCTCTTAATCAGTCCTTCTGCCTGTGTGACAAGAACACCGTTGCAATGCCACAGAAATGGAGAGCTGTTAATTTACAGCAGGGAGATATTTTTTTTCATTCCAGTATGCAGGAAACTTCCATGTTCCCTTATTATCCCAATAGGAAGATGCCATGGACTTCTTTGTCTGAGGTGATTGCTGCTACAGAATGCAAGTGGGATTTAGGGCCCAATTTATGAATGATTCATAAATTTAGATTCAGTTTCAAGGGGTGAATCACTTACCTGAAGGGCACAGTCATCTATAATACCTCTGCAGGAGCATCCATTCCATGAATGTCATCATGTCAGGGGAAAGATCTAATGTACTATTCTTTATTCCTTCCATAAGTAAAGACTTTCCAGTTGCACGCTGTTGGTGGGGAGGGGAGGATTTGCATTAGTGATTTATTATGCGGGGCAGGTTAAGAAAGTGAGAGACTCCTGCTAGAAAGGTCATGTAGCACAGTAATCGCATTACAAATTAGTAGCAACCTTCATTTCTAATTTTGTCTTCTGCACATGAAGAAAGGAGAAGCCCTTGTGTCAAAAGGCCACCCCAAATCAGCGGAGATCCGTTGTCAAGTCCGCACGCTTCATGAGCATTGGGAGAAGTTGAAGAGAGCTGTTGCTGCCCGGGAAAAGATGCTGGCAGATAGCCGGGATTTCCTTGAATTTCTCCAGAAGGTGGACCAGGTGGAAGCCTGGATTAGGGAGAAAGTAAGTAAATTCCAGTATTTAACCAAAGCAGCATGCTGGAGACCTGTTGTTTAACAATGAAATTCTGGTGTCACCTTCTGGAGTATTTTCTTAGTGGCTTTTGCCTGTGCAAAATCAAGAAGTGCTCTACAAACAATATTGAAGAACATATTCAACAAATTCTAAAAATATTCTGGCATGTTTTCATGACAGAGATGGTTGGACAGTGTTAGCACATCTTTTCATTCAAAAAGTGCACATGAAGAGACTGTGATTATTGGTGCTGTTGTCACGTGTATTTCTCCTCAAATAGAGAAATGAAAGCAAGCTAGAATGAAGGCTTCCAACATTTGGAAACTAACATTGCCCCTCATTTTGTATCAAATCTGAAAGTTTCTCTTTCTAATAGTGAAAAAAATAGTCACTTTATCCACCAAGTTTTCATGTAGTGGCAAGTTTGGCAACTTTTCACGTAGTGGCAAGTTTTAGATTAGGAGGGGAGCTGGGAATATAGCTCATAGTTATTTAAAGATCAGAGGAGACTCTGCCAGAAGCTATAAGGTGGTGGTTTATAGAGGCAGAACATCACAGAGCTCGTGGGTCATGGTGAACTGAGGGGACTCCCTTTTGCTGCATCAGCATAAGCACTGAGGAATGTTGTGTGCTTGTACTCTTAGCCTAAATATTTGCCTATTGGATGCTTCTTTCCCCAGGAAGTTATGATTAACGTAGGTGACGTGGGAAATGACTATGAACACTGCCTGCAGCTCATGAAAAAGCTGAATGAGTTCCGTGGAGCAGCATCAGGGGTAAGAGGTGTTTTCCACGCCTGTCCCTACATTCCTGGTGTGACTAGTTACATGGAGCAGCACTTACCTGTTCAGCCCAGCAGCGTACCCACATAGCAAGGACTGTTCAGTATCCTGAGGCAGGGAAAGGTCGGGGGTTCAAAGCATTACCATTTTGTAAGTTATTAAAATAGCTGTTATATCATTGTGCCTTTTGCTTTGCTGATGTTTAAACAGAGCTGTCAGGTGCTTCTGAGGCAATCTGAAAATTCAGATTGCACGACATGACTGAAGTCTGAGTACATACGCCTGAAGTAACTTAAAGAGCAAACTTACAATTTGGGTTATGAAGTCTTCAAAGCCACAGTGACTTCCACCCAGAAGTGGATTAAAATGTTTATTTCAGCTCAGTTTCTTTGAGTCTACAAGTTGATATGGACTGTCAGTGGAGAAACTCTTCCAAAAAAAAAGTTGACCTCTCTATCCATTTCCTTCCTATATTTCTCCCTTCCTCTTATGACGAACAGACAAGTTTCTCATGTCCCTCATACAAATGAATGAGAAAAATGCAATGAATAAATCTTGTAGGGCCTTTGTTGATACAGCACATGTGGTGTCATGAATCATAATATTAATGGCATTTAGTAAAATGTAGCAATGGTTTACACTTCACATAGCAGCAACGTGACAGGACAGCTGCACAGTTTGGATTTCTGTGCTGGATCTGAGTCTCCTTTGTGGTGATGAGCTGCACCAGCTGCCTCTCTTGCCCGTAGTGGGATGTGCTATCCTGGACACCCTAGGACCCCCTGCCATGACAGGGGCCTGCTGGTGACATGCTCCAGCTCCTGCCACTGAGAGCTGTAAGACCATCCATTGAGGGGGTGACTTTGCAGCAGCCTCTTCTCCTCCTCTATTGTATGGGCTGATACAGATGTGGACATACAGGTCCCAGTGTCTCATAGGAGAGACTGTTGTGCTGATTTGCTAGCCCGGAAATGGTGATGAAAGTCTGGGAATGGGTGTATTAGGACCACTGAGTGAGGTATACTCTAATGGTATCTTCTAATATTATCTTCCAATAAGCTCTGTTCTCTCTCATCTTGTTGCCAGTTCCTATTACGGCAGCTCCCATCTTTGAATTTTGTTGCTCGGTGACAGCAGAAGGCAATCCTCTTCTATGCAGAATAATAGGTAGAGAGGCCTGGCACTAAGGAAAATACCTTGGGCTTCCTTTTCCAGAGCCTCATAGGATTTCCAGTGGCAGTGCATTAGCACTGATTCACAACCAAGAGCCAAGTTAACCAAACTTCAGCACCAGGGAATCAGTGAGCAGAGACACCCTTCCGTCATCACCTGAGCCCTGAGCTCAGGGATAGAGGCAGGGCTCTGCTACAGCTCATAGCAGTCCAACAGAGAGATGGTAAAAGATGTCCCAGGCAGTGTAAGTCTGTGCACAAAAGCCTCACCACAGACTAAGGTGGTGTGTATACCACAGGATGCTCTTGGCCATAGGTGCTAGTCTAGGTTTCCCCAATAGACAAATCTGAGATCAGGACAGGGAACAACCAGTCTGCCTTAACGGCTGCCCAAGTTTCTATTAACAGTCTTCAGCCCAGTTCTGCTGGTTCCCGGGGGAGGACACTGCAGGGTTTCTGTTGAAATAATATCTTACTGTCTGCTGCCTTTTCTTGTTTACTTTACAGCTGTGTATGTCAAATGTAGTTGAATACATATGGAAATGTGCATTTTGGCATGGACATAGCATAAATAAAATACAAATGGAGTCAGTACTGCTATTAACAGTGTACTGGCATCTTGCAGCTGTGCTTTGGCTACACCAGTGATTGATGTCTCTCTGCTAAGTGTGTGATTTACTGGTTTCATGAAATGAGAGAATATTTTTGAACCCTGGAACAGTGTTCAGTGTTGGCCGTCGGTCGTGCTCCAAAAGAACAACTATTCCACTATAGGCCAAATGACATGTGCTATGTGCAAATATTTTCCTTTCTACAGTACACTGGTACATGGCTAGCAAATGGTCTCAAAAGTTTAGCATACCTTTTAAGATACAGTGATACTGCTTTAAAAGAATAAATAATGCCATATCTTGCAACCAAACTTATGGATTGTCAGGGTTCCTCAAGGAGTAGATAGGAAGCTCTGAGGGTCCTTGTCTAGACCAAGATTATCTTTGTATCTATAGCTATTAATGTTACTTCTTACCTCTACGTTCTTCTCATCTGGTGCTGGTTAAAAGCATGTTAGCAGAGCAAACGTCTAGAATTTCTGGTACTGGGGCGTAACGCTTGCTTTATTGTTGTTTTTCATGTCTCAGTAGAAAGCTCAACAAGAATTTTGAGCACAAACCTTTGCTTCTTTTCTCCCTTTCTAGGAGGTGACAGTGGATGATGCGCACATTAAAGCTATCAATGCCCTGGCCATGAAACTGGAGAGACAGAACAAGGACGAAACGAAGACAATCTATCAGCGCCGGAAGCAGCTCAATGAGAGGTGAGTATGTCTTCAAGCTTCCATGTGAAGCAGAAACAGGAAGGGAAGATAGGTCTCTGAAGTGGGTTAAGAGGAGGAGTTACAATACATACTTACTCCTTTAGCATCATGGCTGCCAAATATCAGGTGGTGGAGTCACCTGTCGAGACCCTTAGCAGTTACCAGAAGGTTTTCTAATACAGCAGGATTCAGTTGTGTTTCTAGCCTTGGAGGTGAATATGCTGCGTTGCAGCACTTCGCAGACTGCATTTCCAAAGCCAAGGCACTTACATCTGTCCACGTAGTCATCCTGATGTAGTTCATCTTTCTCCTATTAAATCACAGCAGAGTGTTAAAGATTCCAAAGTCTAGACTTAGAATAGAAGTATCCAGATGGCTGGGTATTTATTCTGTCAGTCTAATGCTCTCCCTCTGTGAAGTCTCTCTGTTACTGGGTGGATCAGTGCACAAGGTAGCTCAGAAATCCAGGCTTATATTTGAGACATGAAACTCACTTGTGGAAGTCCTTACCTCTGAAATGTCCTTTTCAAAAACAGGTGGAACAGTTTCCATGGGAACCTGAATGCATACAGAAAGAAGTTAGAGGGAGCCCTAGAAATTCATGCCCTAATCAGGGAAATTGATGACATCACTGAAAGAATTAGTGAGAAGGTGAGTCCTCACGTTTTTATTGATAGACATGAGAAAATGTTCCTTACCATTCAGCCAGGTTCTATTTAGGCAACAGATGATGAACCCAGGCAGCCTAATTGCTAGAGAGGATCCCGCAGTGACTTTGGATAGTTTTCTGTGTACTGATTTTTTAGGATGGATGGAGTATCGTCCAAACACTTCACAGAGATAACTCTAAGTCATTCATAGTGAAAAATGTAAACTTGGTATGTATTTTCATGAGCTATAGACTAGGTCTGCAATAAGTGGGTGCTACTTTTTACTATCTAACGGGAGGTTACAGAGAAGATGAAGCCAGACACTTCTCCTAGGTTCACAGTGAAAGAATAATTAGTAAACACAGGTTGCAACAAGGGAAATTTCAATTGGATGGAAATGAAAAAAAAATCAAATTTAGGGTAGTCAGACACCGAAGGAGTTTACTCAGAGAGACTGTGGAGTGTCCATCCTTGATAATGTTGAGATCTCAACTGAGCTGAGGCCTGAGAAGTCAATATAAGATACTGCTTCTCTGAGCACAGACAGGACTTGATGACTTCCAGAGAATCACAATTTTCCCGATTCTACAATTCTAATAAATATTCTCTAGTCAAATAAAATTTCCAATTAAATAGCTTTTTATCTTGGTGACTAAATACTGTATCCAAAATACATTCCCTCATCCATTTCCTTCTTTTAAACTAACTGGTGGGAAGGAATAGGTACTGTAGAGCTCAGTCCATTTAACCTGTTTTAGATGTCCTCTTAAATTGTGATGGGTCATGTTCCAGCAGTGCCGCCTCCTTTCTCAATGATGATAAAAGGAATTAGGTAACTAACTGGACAGTGGCTTCTCTGCATTAGACATATCTGCCTGTGGTCTGATAAATCCTCACACATGGAAGAAACACAAGAAGGTGCAGTGAGCAGGATGCAGCTCTAAGAGGCTAAAAGACTATGATCTATTTTTATTATTTTCCCTCTTACCCCTTTCAGAGTGCATTAATACAAGCATTGGATTATGGGAAAGATGTGGAAAGTGTGGAAAACCTGATTCGAAGGCATGAAGAGATGGAGAGAGAAATCAGCGTTATAAAGTCTAAAATGGAGGTAAGAAGTGGGGCTACACAGACGATGCTATAGCAATGATTATGTTTCTTCATGGAAATATTAAGCTGTCCTCTATCTCTTGGAAAGTGTGGAATCCAAATTTAATTCTCAATCTTTCCCCTATTTTCTCTATTGACATGAACTGAAATGTTGACTTTAGTTCTGCTGAAGCTGCAGTGATGTTTTTTTGATATGATCTTTGGAACATAAAATCTTAGATTATCATTCCCTGACCAGCTCTTATTCTTGAAAAACTCCTGTAAACCATGCTCCAGTTTGCATGACTTAATCTGAGCATTAAATATGGGTCTGTGCTTCTATGTAATTGTGGGTTTTTTGTTGGTTTTTTTACTGTCTTCGTTGATTCTACTGAAGTGCAGTAGCAGAAACCCATGACATCCTTTCCCCATTGTCACTGTTGAACAGAGTTATTAAGGTTTTTCATATGGAGCACAATTTTTGCAAACTTTTTCTAAAGTTTCTTTTCTTCACAGTAATATGTAACAAGAGATATCTTCACACCTTATGACTTTACTAGCTAACTCTCATATTTATCATGTAAAAAGTGGGTGATTCCTATTCAGCATTCCACAATTAGCAAGGAATTATCAAGGCTACATGGGGGAGTCATGCATAGAAACAGGAAGATCAGCCAAGTTGGGGATTATTTCTGATACTCATACAAATAATATCCAAAGAATAATATTTATAGTTCTCTCATGGATTAAAACCATTCTGGGACATTCTTTTTCTGTATAAATTAAATTCTTCATTTTCATTAACTTGATGGAGTTACAGAAGAAAGATGGCAAGTATAAAACTGAGATGTCATTAAAAAAAAAGAGCATCAAGTAGAATTGAAAGTTATGTTTACATAATATTGAAAGTTATGTTTTGGAACTGCTGTTTATGAAGCAGCAAATATAATAATAATATAAAAACTATATATATAAATATAGATTTATGTATAATTCATATATTAAATTTATATTATATACCATATAAAAATATAAAATATAAAAATATAATAATATTTGTGCATGCTAAATAACAGCCATATCTTTTTGCCAGATCATCTTGCAAATACCCATGTATCTTTTGTTCATTACACAAGTCCTTTTGTATATTATGTTCTTGTAATCTACGTATTCGGTTTTGAAAACTGGGATCTTTAAAGGAACTACTTGTTCTTGAAGGCAAACTCAGGAATGAATATAACCATTTGGCCTAAAGTCACTCTACTATAAATCTCTTCCCAGCCACTGGAACTGGAATCTTTCCGCCTTTCCACAAGGAATCCATCCATAAATGACAGACTGACTGTGAAGCAACATGAGATGAAAAACAACTGGCTACGACTCCAGGGGCAAGCCAAACAAAGGTAAAGGCTTGTAGTGGTCTGAACATCTTTCAACAGGACCAAAACTGCTCCCTGGGGTCACAAATCTTTCCAAAATTCTTTGAGGATCTTTTACAAAACCTTGTGCAGGCAACTAAGACACCTGCATTGGAACTAGGATAACAAAAAATTTCCACAGATGTGATTTCAGGAAAACCAATCCAATTCTTTTTTAGATTATTCCACTAAATAATGTTACTAAAATGCCTCCAGACTATCAGATGAAATCTGTCATGAACCCTACGTGCAAGACTTATTTTTGTGTTGTTATAAAAGATTCTTATCTTGTGTTTTTCCAAAACAACAAAGACTTGGGCCTCAGTTGTAATGGTTGCTGGAGGCAAATGCTTCAACTTGTTATAAAGTCTTTTACAATTCTTATTCTAATGAAGCAATATAGAGAGTAAACACGTTGCCTTCAACACAGCATGTGTCTTTTGAGACTTTGCTTTCAACGTGAAGACTGTAGGGTGCTGGAAGGGAAAGCTAGCAGGTTCAAATTCACTTAAGCCATTCAGCTTCTCTTAGGACGCCTTCCTTTCTCTGGAAATGGGGAGGGAAAGAAAGCTGGACAAATTTGTGTTGACTAATGTTCACTGTGCATTGTGTGGCAGGAAAGAGAAGTTGGCGGCCTCGTATCAGTTGCAGAAGTTTAATTTTGAAGTGAAGGAGATGTTAGATTGGACCCAAAATATCAAAGGTTTAATGGAAGCGACAGGGCTTCCCAAAAGCCCAAATGAAGCAGAAAGTATGATCGAGGAACATCAGGGGAGAAAGGCAAGTATCACTGTTACTCCCAGTTGAATATTCATGGGAATTATTTTTTGCAGTCACAGCAGGACCTAGCTGCAGCTACCAATCAATAATGTGGTGAACAACTGTGACTTACTATGTCACTGAGAACAGTGACATAGTAAGAACAGTAGTTGTCTGTATATTGACAGAAATCTGTCCATGGACTGCTTGGCAGTTCATGTTTCTGCAAGAGGTCCCAGAAGGCTGCATTGCCTGTGCTTTTGTACAACTCTGCAGGGAAAAATGTCCAATATTAACTCAAAACACACTTAGTGCTGGTCTGTTTGCTTAGATTGTCAAAAGGTGTACTAGTCAATGCAGCTTTGGACTAGCTTTTGCCATTTATCTGCCTCTGCCTGGGAGGAAAATAAAACCAGCAATTTGTTTTACACAGGGCACTAAATTGCTGTTGCATTTGTTGGTATTATACATTTACTGCAGGAAAACTTGATATCCCAGTACAAATTACCACACATTCTTTTCATGGCTATTTTTTTGTGAATTTTCTGAATTGTCCCATTACTAAAAAAAAAAAAAAAAAAACTTGTTATGATGCTGTTTTCTGGTTTAATTCTTACCAGGACTTAATACTCCACACCTGATGTCCCCTACTCTTTCAATCTTCTATTTTAACAATGTATTTTCATGTCACCCACTTATTTAACCATGGTAATAATTTTTTGGTGCAATAGAAATACCCCAACCCACTGCTTTATTCCAGTTCTGAAAGCAGCAAGATCTAGTATTCAATATCTATTAGCAAAGGAAGCCAAGCAGATCTAAGACAGTCTTACAGAGGGGGCAGGATCCAAGAAATGTGTTCCTTTGCAGTATGTTCACTAAGATAAAATTATAGATAAGATAAGATGGATTATTTTTTTCATCCAGGCAAGTAATGCAAACCAAAGTCCTTTGAAGAGCCTAGAATTAAACCTAAGGTGCTGATCTGAATAAAAACCGAAGTGGCTCTCCCCTTACAGATGTGTGAGCTGAGATTGCCCAGCCTAAATAAAGAATAAACCCTAAAACCAAAAATGCTAATTTGAAACATTTAGTAGCCCATGCCATAGTTTTGAGATACTTTGCAAGTTAATGCATGTTGTTACTTCAGTGCAGAGTTATTTTCAGCTGGTTTACATTAGGAATTCCAAATTCAGCTTGCAGGAGTCAAGGTTGCTTGATAGGTTTTTACCTCAGGGATTCAATATACAGACACAGCTCAACCCTTTCCTCAGACCAGAGGAAAAAGTTTAATATTTTCCATTTAACATCCCCCCCCCCCCCCCCAAAAAAAAAAAAAAAAAAAAGTGAAATATTTTCTTTGATGCAATAATCTAATATTTGGCAGGAGAGGATAAAATCCAGGATCTGTTCATTTTAGAAGAACCACCTTTCTGGGGGAAGATGGGGAATAGAGTATCATGGATATTCAAAATCATGTCAGTTTAATCACTTTCCATTCTGTTCCTAATTGATTTTCCTTTTTGATTTATAGAAAACCATCTGTTCTTAGAGCAGTAGTCATTTATTGTCCACATTTACTTTTTCAGGTGATTCTATGCCCTTTTGGTACCATAGCTCAAAGATGAATGATTTTCCATATGAATATTAGTGTTGGAAAGTTGATGTCCATATTTTTCCCTTTAAGGCCCATATCCCAAAGAGTTAACATTCCATTAAACTTTGACGTCAACCTTACTAATATATTCTAGGAGGAGATTGAAGCACGAGTGGAAAGATTCAACTCTCTGAGCAACTATGGTCAGAGACTTGCCAATTCTGGTCACTATGCAACCCCAGAGATTCACCAGTCCCTCTCCCGACTACAGCAAGCCTGGTCTGAATTGATCCAAGCATGGCAGGAGCAAAATATAAAACTATTTGAGGCTCAAGATTTACAGGTAAGTAAATAAGTAAAAAAAGCATTTCATGTACATCCCATATACTTTTCTCAGCATATCCAGCAGATTAAAAAGATTTAATTATGAGGATGGTATGCTGATAGTACCTAGGGCTTAATTCATATTTCCCTGGTTTCCAGAAGGCATAGTCAAGGCTGAGTATGTCCAATGATGGCAAGACCTTTAAAAATTGTATCTTGACAAACCAATGACATTTCTGTGCAATATGTGCTCTTATATCTTTTGAAGGCTGTACAACTTGGCAAAATTCACACAAATCCTCATGCAGCTGTCTAAAAGTTTAAAGTTTCCGTCTTTAAAATGGAAAACCCCTATCTTACCAAATTCTAGACTCTCACCCCCAAACATGGAGACAGAAATACATTTTAAAGAAATAGTCTGAATAAAAATGTATCATGGACAAAATAAAGTATTTTTCCCTGGTTTTATTCTAATGTAAGAACTGTTTTGGCTGAAGTTTTCCAGAAATATTTGCCTGAGACAGTCATCCCATTTACAAAATTCCTGCCCAAATGGCTTGTTGGCAAAAGTTAGAAATAACTGAAAAGAGATCTTTTAATGGGGAGTGTCACATATCTTAAGTAACAGCTGGTGTTGCTAGACCCTTCTAAAAAAAAATCATATAAATAAGAACTTAAACCGGGTGGTAAGTGCTGCTCTTGTGCTACTTTAAGTGTTCTACTTATTTCAGGCAGCATTGCCATCTCTCTCAGTGGCCAGTAGTTTACAAAACACTCTCAACATAAAGGTATCATTTGTAGTTTTAAGGACTGGAGTATGGAAATCTGTTTACATTATTAGCAAACATGCTACATGTACTTGTATTCTACCATATACCTGAGACAAGAGAAATAATTCCCATAAAGGAAGAAGCTGCAGTATCTATAGTTATGTAGATAGCTGTTGCAATGCCTAATGCTTATTGTCACACACTGCTATCTGATTAATTTTTGCAGTAGCCCAGAAAGTTAATTGATTTTCAGCACGCCCTGCCCAAGTCATGACTGCCTCTATTTTACAGCACATTTATGCCTGCTTTTTTTCCTCAAACAGAAATTCTATGGCTATGTGGAGCAGACTGAGAGCTGGCTTAGCAGCAAAGAGGCTTTCCTAGCCAACGAGGACTTAGGGGTAGGTATGCGGAGAAACTACAGTAAGAGAAATGACAATATCCCCAGTCTGGAGGACAGGGAAGTATGATGCTGTGCTCTGAACCTTCCTGCAATCACTCTCCCTCCAAAGTTATTGCTCTGCCTTGTTGACAGTTTAGGATCAGATTTCTTTCCTCGATACTCTACACAGACAGGATAGGTTTCTCAGCCCCAAGTGTAATGAAACATTCCAGCTACCTCTGTTACAGGGAGAAGCTGAGGCTGCATCCCTAACTGGTCATATCTGACCCAAGTGAGCTTACTAGCAGTGTGCAAGTCAACGTTGCTATTACTGCTGACATAGGCAATATAACTTGAAATTAGCTACCTGAGGTACAGTAAAAACCATGCAGGATGCTGCATGTATACACTGATGCAACTTGTGTAGGCAGTACACAAACAGTCTTAAATCTCACCCCTGTTGTGTCTGCAGGACCTGCAACTCTGTCTCTGAGTTCAGTGTAGGTATGATTGGTACAAAAGGTACCAACGCCTGTTTTTCAGGTGTTTTTAGTTCAGCAATGCACAGAATATAAGCTCTGTGGGTACTTTCTGTTTCAGTGATTTATGTAAACATCCATCTGCTTAGGTGTTTTGTAATCCATTTGACACGAAACTCCTGAGAGGATGAGCTTCTTCAGGAGCCTTACATTTACAGCTCCCTCTAGAACAGTAGGAAAACTCAGCTTACTAAAGTAACATTTTAAAGCTTCTGATTCTGAAATTAAAAGTGAAGAGGGGTGCAGAAAACAGAACTCAGAGTCATTAAGTTTGAGTTACAAACATTACAAGAAGTCAGATTCCATGCTTCTCTTGAGATTAACTGGCAGGTTCCAGTCCTCAAGTTCAGATCTGGATCTGAGCCCTTCCAAAATTCAGTGGGTTGAAACTGAGGCTCTAGTTTTAATATCTTTCTGTGATATATTTGTTCATTTAACTCTAATCTCATTTTGAGATCCTATATTTGCTTCCAGAATAGCCTCTTTCTCCAGATTGATTTATGATTAGTAGATGAGCTTTATCTCCTGAGAAGCATGAGATGCTGTTTGCAGCACAACAGTTAGCAGAAGCTGAAGATCCAGCACTTGTTCAGTTCTGACTCTGAATTAATGGCCTCAGCCATGCAGAGAACATTATTTATGCTCCAAGCCTCAGGTTCAATGCAAATAAATTTCAAAGACCAGTGAGTTTCCTTGATGGCTTACAAATGTGGGGTAAATGCCATTTAGCTTTTGGATTATCAGCGTGGTGGTTTGAATAAAGGCAACTTAAAAGTAACTTCTCTTTGTTGAATTTTGTCCAGGACTCAGTGTCTAGTGTGGAGAGTCTACAGCGTAAACACATGCAGTTTGAGAAAGCCCTGGAAGCTCAGATGGACAAAATTGATGAGATGGCTTCATTTGCTCAGCAGCTAGCAAAAAACAAGCACTATGACTCAGACAATATCACCAACAGATGCCAGGCCATTCTGAGGAGGTAAAGACAACTCCTTCCTGTGTCTGCCACCCATTTCTTTTGCAGTGAAACTCTCCCCATGTCCTCTAAAGTCCTTGACTGTTTCAAGAAAACCATAAACTGGTTTGCATTTACTTAGCATTGTGCTTCACACCGTGGTCCTGCCAAATTGGCTTGAGTCTAGTCAGTATTTCATTAGGAGGTTTCCAAAGTGCAGTTAAATGGAGTTCAGGAAAAGGCAGTTTTCCTGTAATTCTGTGTCCTGGCCTGGCCCTAGGGACAGTGCTTCAAACAACCCACAGAAGCCTGCTGTGCCAGTAAATACTTCACTGTCATTAAATTATCATCAAGAAAGGTCATTTGTGCTTTACTGCTTTTTCGCTGCTTTGAGGGAATTGACCTTAAAGCCTTGCTCAAGTTCTCCATTAGGACACTTACAGTTCTTGCTGATGAGATCTTGCCCTTTCATGTGAATTATTTTATTTCTCCTAGCATGCTTCATATTCTTTATCTTAAACAAATGCTGATAATAGAGGCAGTTACATTCAGTGCTATAGTAGAGCAAAAGCAATGTGCAAAATTTGCAGAGGAGATCCTTTATATGAAAGAAAACATATGAATCTTGCATGTACTTGAATAAAATGGTTAAGTTCCGTATTTGGGAGAAATATGAGGATGGTGCAGCTTTAGTTTATCAGACAATATCAGTGTCAAATACCCTCGTGTCCACTGTCTTTCCATACACAAACACGCTAAGCTTACATTCCATTGACTATGAAAAGCATTAATGGTCATTCTTAAAAGCAGGTATTAGATATGAAGAATAAGAACACATTTTAAACACAACCTTCTGTAAATAGTTCTTCTTACTGTGTCCTGAGCATCTTCTCTGGCAGTCTGAATCATGGAATACTGCGTGTTATGAACAACTGTGTCCTAGAAACAGAGGGCTAGATTGCGTGGCTTTTGGAGATTAAATTTGAGAGCTCATGTCCTAACTAACCCACTCTGCGATTTTTGCTTCACACTTTGTCTTCAACTCAGAAAAGAGAAACTGCTGGAGAATGCTGCTGCTCGCAGACGTCTGCTGGAAGAATCAAGGCTTTTGCAGAGGTTGCTGAAGAATTCCTTTGAGGTACAATTACATTGGTTTCATGGGGTTTTGGTTTCTTAAAACATACAGGTCCAATGTGTATTAGAAGAGAGCCTGGCAGATTGGAGCTGAAGGAACTCTGAATTTTTGTCTAATTCTGTTCTTTCCTGCCCAAAGGTGGCTGCTTGGATGAATGAGAAGAATAGTATTGCCCAGGATGACAGCTGGAAGGATCCAAGCAACCTGCAGACCAAGCTGCAGAAGCATCAGGCTTTTCAAGCGGAGATCATGGCCAATAGAAATCGCCTGGACTCCATCAAATCTGTGAGAGAAGCTGGGTTGATAGCAGGGCTTGAAAAAAGTCATGAAAGACGGAAGGCAGTCACAAAATTACTGTCCTCTTGTGATATTGTTCACTTTATTTACCTCTAAAGGGGGCTTGGAAGCTTACTTTAATTCATCTAGACCTTTCTGTGCCTTGGATAAAAGGCATGGGATTTCTCCAGCTTTTCTCTTGGGGTTAGGTGTGAGCTTGCTGTCTATATTCATTGTTTGTACCATGAAAAATAATGGTTGCTTCCAATGAATGATTCATTCCACTAATTTTAAACACTTCTCTTTGGGGTGAATCACACTTTGTAGGTATAGCTGTTTCTTTCCTGCAGGGAGCCGAGGTGGCTAGATTCACAGTTTCAAAAAGTCAGATAAGATGAATCCTACAAAAGGTGTCAAGATGAGTTTTCAAGTGTTGCCTTTGCAGAAACTTGCTGGTAGGGGAGATATGAGGGATGGCTGACAAGCTTTGTCAGCTACTTGGCAGCAGCTTTAATTAGATGATGGGTTTGGAAGGACAGACAGTTACATATTTCTTAAACTTATTCTCAGCATAATGCTTCCTATCTGTGTTTTGCAATAGATAACTGAGCACAGGGCTCCTCCTCAGATTTCCTGTATGCCACCATGCACAAGCTATTGTTTTCAGAAGCAGTGCAGACACACAGGACAGTTTAGGGTGGAGTTACAACTCTCACTGTACTAACATGTTTTTAGAGAGTTGTTTGCACAATCTCCTTATTTCTGCCTTGTCTTTGTCTTTGGAAATGTCCTTGGGAACTGATTTGAATGAGAAAATTAACCTCTGCTATCCTGGTTCAGCATCCTTTTCTCACTGTGCCTCCTCTCCCTCAATGCATCATATAGAAGTAGCTCAGCGTAGATTTCTAAGGCAAATTTGGTCACAGCTTAAGCATCCTCTGGCTGAAGGAGTCTTTCTTGTGCTTCCTCTACCTCTTTTTCAGCCAACTGTAAAGCATCTGTAGGTCAGGGTTTAGAAATGCAGATAGATTTTTTGACTATGTGATACAGTGATACAAAGTTACCATTGTATGATATAGTAAAACCTCTTTTAACATGCAGGCAAGGGAATACAGAAGGATGGAAAGTTGAACAATTTCAAACAATGATCACAGAATATCATATGGGAAATATCATAGAAGTAACAGTGCTTGCAAACTAAGGCTCACTGCCAGTCTTTAGGTGATGTAGCTTCTGCATAATGAAGATTCTCTTTAATGTCCTCTAACCTTTAAACATCCTCTAACATTGGCTTTGCAACATTTTAAATAGCTTTAGAGGTCAACAGTTTAGGAAAATCAATCTCTGCCATGGTGTTGGTGTCAATAAGCATTTTGCCTTTATCCATTTTTCCTTCACCTATGCAGCCTCCTCATGTTAGGAAGTGATGGCCACAGCTGATCTTTTGTCTAGTAGTGCCAAAAGAATTTGTTATAGAGGCAACTGTGATTAATTTCCACATTCTCAGCAAAGGAAGAAAGTTCTGACAATCCTCTTTGTGTAGGATGGGGAGAAGATGCTCCGTGAGAGGCACCATGCCCCCGAGGCCATTCAGTCCAGATTGCAAGAAATGGAAGAGCTGTGGGATGAGCTGCTGGCAAGCTGCCAGGATAAACGGACCAAGCTGCAAGATGCATACAAGGTAACACAGAGATGGCAACAGTTGGGACCTCATGTCATTTCTGGAGATATCCTGTTTGCCTTGATGCACAGTCTTCTCTGCTGGTGCGTCACTTGATACAGTCAGACTTGATTCCTCAAGACCATTAGAGCCAAGAAACTACTAAATATGAACTGGTTGAATGGAACTACTGAGAGAACTGGGAAAGAAAATGATTTGTGGACTGTGTTCTCATGTGCTTTCTGCAACTGAGTTGGAGTCAAGGTTCCAGAGAGTGTTACTGAGGGGAAATATGTTCACTCACTACATCTGCTCACTCTCTGGATCTGTCCCACTAGCATCTTTTCTCTAACAGAAGTAAGAAAAAAGCTTACAGTTACTTCCCATTCTTCTAGCTCTTTCCAGCCACATGACTTTGCTTCTTGTGAGCTTTACATGAGCAGCCAGACACCTTGTAGGTATAAAATAAAGCCATCTTAATGGTTTCATTTCTAAGTATCGTGTCCATCAGTGATATTTTTGCAACCTAAGTAAGATTAGTTCAGACATTCTCTGCTTCTGTCCTTGTGTTTGCTCTGACTGGATTCTCTTGTACCACCTTCACGCCAGGGGAGAGGTCACTGAGCACTGGAATTTTTCCTTGTGCTCTATGTGTAATCCTTCTTGAAGGTGGCTGAGATTTTATATTATGTTATATATCCTGAAAATTTATTTGGCATTTCCTTTCTGCTTGTCCCCAGGCCCTTCATTTCCAGCGGAGTGTAGAGGATATGGAGAAGTGGTTGGAAGATGTGGAAAATGAGCTAAGGGCACCATATAGTAGCAATGATCTGGTGGTTTTGAACAGTCATCTGAAGAAACAAGAGGAACTGGAGGAAGATATTGCTGGCCATAGGGACCGGCTGCAAGAGCTGGTGACTATAGCTCAGGAGTTTCAGCAGGAGAAGCATTTCCTTGCTGATGAGCTTGAAGACAGAGTAGATCAGCTGGTGCAGAGGTGGGTGAGTCTGGCCTGTCTTTTGCCATTTTTATCCTACTTTTGCAGCCTTTTTATCCCCTATATCCCCTTTTATTTCCTTTTCTTTTCCATATAATTTTGAAAATCTTTTTTTTGTATTAGTTCACTATCACTCTGTTGACCTCATTGAATTCCCTTTAAAACATGCAGATACAGAAGTCTACGTGATCCACTGCAGCAGAGACGTGGGAGTTTGGAGGCAAGCAGGCTTCAGTACCAGTTCTTCCGAGATGTTGATGAGGAGCTGGCCTGGGTTCGTGAAAAACTCCCAATGGCTTCCTCCAGGGATTATGGCCAATCCCTGGCAACTGTTCAGAGCCTGCAAGAAAAGCACCAGGTAATATAATGTGAAAAACATTCTCAGTCTTTAGAATCAAATAAAGAACATGGAATTCACCTGTCTGGCAAACCTCATCTGCGCTGCATGTGTGAGTCATGATGCTAGGAATAACTCTTATTCTGGTCTGATATTTATGACATTCCTTATAGGATGTGTCCATGACTTGGCAACACCTGGAACTCCATGCTGCTTATCACTGCAGTGCTCTAAGTAGCCCACCTTATGCTGTGGATACATTAGCTCTTTCCACAAACAACTGAGTTACAAATCCTAGAGTCTGGAATATGAAATAGTTTTTACAAGCTGTTGTGCATGCTGGTATAGCTTCTTTGGAAACAGATGTCCTAATAAAATGTGCTTCCAAGCTTAAGTGCATCCAAGCACACTCATTGCTCAGGCGTCTCAGGATGATCTCCCAGAGAAACTTCTCTTCCTTTTCTTGAGAGGAGACTTAACAGAATTTTATGATTTTGAGACAACCTTCATTTTAGCAATAGCTTGCAAGATAGCTGCTATTTTGCAAGGCTCAGATAGACCATCTGAGAGAATAGTGCCTAGACCAACATCACCTCAGGCACCAACAAAATAGCAGCTGCTTTCTGATGGTTTTTGAGTAAAACAGACTGTCGCTTTGCAAACACATGAGGTGAAAGAAAACAGTCCTGCTAAAAGTTTCCACACATTCTTGATATTTGCTGTTAGCAAAAGGCAATGTATTTAAGTGGGGCATCAAATATCTCTAGGGAAAATCTGTGCAATCTGTAATAGTGCTGGGAAAGACAGAAAATTTTATAAGGTGAGAATGTATATATACATTCATATACATTTGGCACAGACATTTGGTGCAATCTGGTGCGTGTCTAGAAATAAAAATCTCAACTCATAAAAAATTCTGAATGTCCCCAGGGTAAGAAGTCAAAGGATAGGTTGTGTGCTAGGACAAGGAAGTCTCCTATGAAGTAGGAGATTCATCCTGGGCATGCTCACAATTTATTGAAGAATGATAAAATGCTTTTTTCATTTATCTTCTGAAATAGTCCTGAGTAAGGAATTCCATGAGAATATTGTGACTGGATAGCACCTTCTTGGTATTTGATGTAATTTCTCATATTTGTAAATATTCTGAATATTGAGATGCAGTTTCGACTTGAGAATAGGCAATAAGAACAAAGGGCTTGCTTCATCATCATGGGAAGTATGAGCCTTATTTTTATGCCTGTAATTACTTCTAAAAATATGAGCTGATGGACATGGTAGGGAAGCAGATTAGACTGATGGAAGGAAGGAATATTTGAGCTGAGTTTGTCTGAGAAAGTATTTGAGATAACGGGAACTGTGGATATACCACTTTATGCTGCAATGATCTCTGCCTTATTTGGCCAGATTTCAAAATACTTCAATAATTTGTGAAAATGGGGAAAAGGACTGTAATGACAATGCAGAATCAGAGGCCAATTCTTCCTGCCATTTTGCTTCTTATTGTCCTAGAAGCAGGATTAAAATGCACATCTTGAAGTCGGAACATTTCAGTAGCTAGAGACTCAATGCTTTTTTTTCTTTTTTCTTTTTTCTTTCTTCCTTTTTCTTTTTTCCTTTTTCTTTTTTCTTTCTTCCTTTTTCTTTTTTCTTTTTTCTTTCTTCTTTTTTCTTTTTTCTTTTTTCTTTTTTCTTTCTTCTTTTTTCTTTCTTCTTTTTTCTTTCTTCTTTTTTCTTTTTTCTTTTTTCTTTTTTCTTTTTTCTTTTTTTCTTTTTTCTTTTTTCTTTCTTCCTTTTTCTTTCTTCCTTTTTCCTTTTTCCTTTTTCTTTTTTCTTTTTTTCCTTTTTCCTTTTTCCTTTTGTTGTTTTTTCTTTTTTCTTTTTTCTTTTTTTCTTTTTTTCTTTTTTCTTTTTTTCTTTTTTTCTTTTTTCTTTTTTTCTTTTTCCCTTTTTCCTTTTTTTTCCTTTGGCTTTTAGGGCAACATGTCAGAAGTAAATTATCAGTCTATAACTCAACATACTGTTAGTTCCAGTATCTATTGTTAGACTTAATTAGCCAGATTTGCAAAATTCAGCCCTTGTTTCACTGCCACAAGAGTAACGTGCATGAAAAGTATCAACCTAAAAAATTACCATGTCTTGCAAAAATGTATTCTCATGCAAATATAATAAGTGTAAGCACAGCTGCCTCGTTTGGAAGCACAGGGTTTCCCCTTGCCTGCCCTTCATTTTTGTTGCTGTTGTTGCTGTTTGTTTGTTTTTAATCCAATGGGTGTAAGTGAAGTACTGTGACAACGAGCTCCTAGTGGCTCAATTGCAAACTTTTCTTCACGTTGCCAGTTTATTATTAATACACAGTACAAGATGCTTTACGATCTTTGCCACTGAGTTCTGTTCTGTTGGGGTCAGAGATGGTGTCGGTTTTCAACAACATAGGGGCTGCCCTGAAATTAATATGGGGAAATTAAAGGCAAGATTAGAATCAGAGCTCCCCTCTTTTGCAGCCAAGTGACCTGATAGTTGAGCTGGAAGAATAGCTCCTGTCTCCAGAGGGTGTCTCTTCTGCATAAGTTAGCACTGCCATCTAACTCTGAAGCTGCCTGCTTCACAGCTCTGAAAATAAATAGACAGGATGGCTGTAAAATCCTGGGGCTTGCTGGTTGCACAGTGCCCAGGTGTAGTTAGCTCTGGAGTGACCCAAGGGGAAGACCTAGTCTTTGCTCACCCAGGTGAAGATCACCCAAGGACGAGTATGGAGGCAGGCCTGTGCTTTAGCAAATCTGTGAGGCTTCAAAAATGGATTGCAAAGAAAGCCTTTGAGAGCTGGTTCAGGTAGTTTGTTGCTGTGCCTGTGAGTATGTGTTCCTGTAGGGTTTGCAATGGGGATGTGGTTGTAACGTAAAGCTGCATCTCCTAAAATGGTGCTGGGAAGGGATAAATACTGGTCAACAGGTTGAATTGATTGTCTTTCCTTAGAAACATTTCAATTCAAGAAGCGTGGTCCAATGCAGATTAAAGTGGGTATGTTTCGGTAGTATCTACTGATAAGAAGCTTGTGGTTAGACTCTCTTCCCTCCCCACTCTGAGGAGGGTATGCGTCAGGATGCAGACTTTGTGGCTAGATGATTTGTAGCTGTGATTTCTGAAAATGCTCCTAAACGCTCCACTCTGCTTTGAGTATTTGCTTAAACTTGTCTCATTTGCCTCCTCTTCGCATATAAAAAAACAGATTTATAATAGAAATATAGGACTACATTATCTCATAGAAAAATCTCCATGACTTTTATTTTTCCTTTGTCTTTTACTCTTTCCAGATTTTGGAGAATGAGATAAACAGTCGGGATGCTTTGACCAAAGTGGTGCTCAGTACAGGACAGAAGCTGGTAAGGGGAGGCCACTCAGCCTCCCACAAGATTATGGAGCATCTGAAGGAACTGGAGACATCTGTAGAAAACTTGAAGGCAGAAGCTCAGGGGAGGAGGCAGAGACTCATGCAATCATATGAGGCCCATCAATACCTTGCTGAGGTAAGGAAGTTTCAGGAAACAAAATCATTTGTTCCTTATTTGCTTAAAGGACTAGATACCTAATTGCTCAGTGTCTGGAAGTCTTGAGATAGGAGCGAAATTAATACTGTTCTGGCTTTTTCATATCGGATAAACATGGATACAGTTGAGCAATAAGTTATTTTCTCTAGGACCTAACGCCAGGGATAAACATGTAACCAAAATGACTGGGATGAATTACTGGGATTAGTAGTTTTTGGAAAAACATTTTCTGTGTTTTAGTACAGACACACCCCTAGATGCTTTCTAATCTTACTGTTATATCCTTAGACCTCACTGCTTTCCATTTTAATTTGCTGTGGCCTAAATAACTGCTGTGTTCATGCTCATAACCATATTTCATACAGTTATTGGAGGTGGAGGCTTGGCTGGCAGAGAGGAGCTTCATCTTGGGGACCTCTGATTATGGGAAAAATGAAGAATCCACCCAGGCTTTACTTCGGAAGCTTGAAGCCACCAAGCTGGACATGGAGGGCTTCAGACCCCGGATTGAGAAAGTACAGGAGACAGGCAGCAGCTTAATAAACAGAGACAACCCAGAGAGGTAGGAAAATGAAGGAAAGTTCCCCAGATCTAGCAGAAATGCCCAAGGAACACAGATATTGAGAAGCTCGGCCTTGGGAAACTGGTGTCTCATTCAGAAATACAGCTTTGGGGGACATCAGTCCCCCCTTGACTATCATCCCACACTTCAATTCCTTCCCCCCCCCCCCCCAAGAAAAAAAAAGAATTATTCTGTTCTTTTCATGGCAGTTGTTTTTTTCCACAACAGGCCAGATACTGCTTCTTTGTCCAATATATATTCCCAGGAATTGTAATCTAGTTGTCATTTGATATAAAGGTTCAGGAAGCACCGTGTTTGGGAAAGGAAACTGATATTTGAGACATTTCATTGCTTTTCATTTCCAATTTGCTTTTGTATCTGGGGAGAAAGAGATGAAAAGAGCAGCCGTTCATGCAAGATACTTTAATTTCCTGAACTAGCTGGGTTTTTTTGTCCTAGCATAACTCACCACATGCTACCTGGTCTCTTCAGCATTTTGAAGGCGTTGCAAATTCAACCTGTCAGAAAAGATGGTGCTCAAAAATAGCAAGTAAAACAAGAGTAAATCAAAGACATACTTTTGATTTTTCTTCTTTGCAGTCCAGCCATACTTGCGAAGCTCCAGGGGATCCTAGCAGACTACCAGTCTCTCCTACAGAAGGCCGAGACACAGAGAAAATGTCTGCAAGAACAATTCCAGCTGTATCAGTTTGAAAGAGAATTCCAGCTGGTGGAAGCCTGGCTGTCCAGCAAACAGTCTGTGGCGGAGTCTGATGACTATGGACAGGACTTGGATGATGTTGAGGTAAAAGAAAAGAAAGAAAAAACGAGCAGAAATGCACTTGTTCTATTTTTGTGTGTGTATATGTGTAACTAGTGACAGTGTAACATGTTACGGTACCTTTTCCTTCAATGTGCATCCCAAAGTTGTCCTTTTCAGGAGATAAGGTGAGGTCACCATACTTCACTGTGGCCCTAATGATTTGACCATGGTCTTAAAACACTGTCCATGGAAAACACTAAGATGGACCATCCACACCAGCAGCTGGATAGCTGCAGATTTTAAGCATGAGTTTCTCCTCAGAGAAGGAGAGATAGACTTCCTTGTGTGGAGAGGTATAATGTCCACTCCTCATTATTGAATTAATGCTTTTGACAGCTATTACCTACATAGACAAGCTAAAATGGTTATGTTTGGCAACATCTCCAACTGTCAGGATGTAGATGATTTCTTTTTCTGTGACATAAGCTGTTGAGGATATTAACAATAAAGGTTTTCTTCTGACTCTAGAGCTTTTCAGTTTTTCGAGTGTCTTGCGCTTATAGTCTGTAATTCATAGCTTTTTTGTTCTACAGTAGAGAGTAAGTGGTTCCCTTTGTCTCTGTAAAATAGGTAGGCAGAAATTATTTTATCCAAGAATAACTGATTATTCTCCTTTATTCTATAGGTACTGGAGAAAAAATTTAAAGATTTCATAAATGAGGTGAAACCTCTTGGACATTCCAAAGTTCTTTCCCTAAATGAATTAGCATCTAAGCTGGAGAAAGAGGGCCACAGCAAGACAGAAGTTATCCAGAAGAGAACAAAGCAAATCAATGAAATGTGGGAGAAACTGTGCCAAGCCATCCAGACAAGGACAGAGGTAAGAAATACTTGAAAAGCTAGTGGGGCATTGAATTCTCTGCATCTTCTCTGGCAAGGTTTAGATTTGAAAGACATGTATCAGCCTAGAGATTTTTCTGTTTTCCTAAATTCACTGCAACCTCCAGTTTCCTGAAAAACTAAGCCAATCTAATGGTTTACAACAACTAACAAGAGGAAGTTTCACCCTCTATGTCTTCCTTACCCTCTTTACTCTATCCTCTCTCCTGCTTTACTCCTTGCTGCTCAGGACCCCTTTTCACAGCTGTGACGCTGACTGGACTCTTTCTTCAACTACTTCAGCTCATTAAACCAACAAAAAAACTATCCAAATTTGTTTTAACCTGAGTGTGAAATGCTATTAGAACATTTTCAATCCTTTCATCTTCTAAGTCCTGACTCTCATCTAACACACTTTATTTTCACAATTTGAAATGCAGGACCCTGTCCCAAGCAGGTTTTTTTAGGCTTAGCCAAAAGAGATACCTATAAAGGACAACTCATGCTCTCCCTATTGGTCATTCATCTTAGGAGGGATAAATTGCTCTAGGGACATCTATTTCTTTCCATTGACATGGAGAACTTGGTTTAGGTTGGATAGCTCTTTCAGATCACTTAATTGGGGAGGTATTTCATTCCTCCACTTGGTCAGTCTGTTCTGCGTGAGGATATGATATTAGGATTGCCTGTTTTTACACTGCAAACAGGATGTATCATATTACCATAAATTGCTTCTTTATTCCAGAACCTAAGAGCAGCCCAACAAGTTCATCGATTTGATCACGATGTGGATGAAGTAAAGGGCTGGATGCAGGAGAAAGAGGCAGTGGTGGACATAGAAGATTACGGATATGACCTTCCAGGTGTACAGACACTTCTAAGCCAGCTTGAGGGAGTTGAGGTAAAGAGAGCTGTCATGAAGCAGTGGCAGAAAAATCTGAATGAGAAAAGAATGGAGACTGCTAAACATTTTGAAATGTTTTAGACTGCCCCATTTGCAGGGCAAGTAAATATAAATGTATTTCATCATGGAAAATCCATTGTGCATCACAGCAAGGGTGGCTTTTTCTCCTGCGTTTCCCATTGTGATACTATATTATTACTACTTTTATTTCTCAAGATGAGTTCCTCTTCCAAAGTTTAGTCAAAAGTTGTTGTTCTAATTGCAAAGGTGTCATTTGAAATACAAGAAGAGACTTCAGCTCCATGCTTATCAAAATAATCAACATGTTGTATCCAAAGAACCTTCTTTAGAGAATGAGAACTAGGCAGAAGTTGAGAGGAAAAGACCTGAGAGTGTCAGTTCACGCATCTCTGCAGTCAGTGAATAGAAAAAATAGGCATCATCTTTACATGGAGAGATTATCAAAAGTCTATTTTAAATAGAGACTTGATCTTACATTCAATTCTCTCCCTGTTCCAGAGAGATCTAGGAGCCATCATGAAAGAGCTGGAGCGGATTCGGGGAGAGGCTTGGCACCTCAGCCGCACCTACCCTCAAGTCAAGGAAAACATTATGGAGAGACTCACGGACGTGGATGAATGCTGGGGAAACCTGGGCCAGAAGTTCCTGGAGAGGAAGACAAGACTGAGCCAGGCAGAACAAGTCCAGCTCTACTTCAATGACTGTAGGGAGCTGATGTACGTATGGGTCCCTTGCATTTGGCAGTAGGCCTAATCTTTCCCTCTTGGGGTTTTCTGTATTACACCTGTGGGTGGTTTGACTCCTGTCCCACACATTCTGAAGCTTGGTTAATAATTTTCTTTGAATAATAATAGCACAACACATCTTCTTATCAATACTTGACATAGTAGAAGGGACCGTGCCACTCTGCTTCAGCACAACATACATGTTAGACCCACAATGCAAATGATACTCACACCAGAATATTTCCTATAAAGTTTTGGAGAATTCAGTCACTCTGGATAGTTTTGGTAGCCTGACAATTCCCGTCCAAAACACCGTTCATTTTTTTGGAAGATTGAGAAATCTGTTCTAGATATTTAAGTAATTTATGTGCTTTTATTAGAGTCAAAGCAACTACGCTAAATACAGTATTCTAGAACAGATTAATACTTGCTCAAGTGTTGCAAGTGTTTCATTTTTTTTAATGCTATTACCTGTAAGTGCACACTCTCCATTTTTATTAGATGTCAATATTTTGTAGTAACTCAGTTGCTGGGGAATTCCTTTTTCTTTTTTTTTTTTCTTTTTTTTTTTCTTTTTTAATCTGAATGAGAACAAAAGGCTAAATGTTAACAGCCTTTATAAAACATCTTGCAAAAAAATAAATTGAACTACAACATCTCGTTGTGATTAAATCAACCATGCCAGCATATCTATAAGCAGAGTCTAATGTAGAAGATCAAATAACTGATCAAAATAGTCCTTACTGAAAGTGGCAGACCAACACTGCTAGAATAATAGATTTTATCATTTTAATGACATTTGCAGCAAAATTGATACATTCACTGTTAATTTTTGGACAGCATTTCTCATGGACTATGACAATAGAAATGAGGGAAATTCAGAATCAGTGAAGTAAACGAAAAGATTAATCCATGACAGGAGTATAAATCAGAAAACAGTGAAATGATTTATCTCATCAGTGGGTAGGGTTATTTCAGTGGGTAGGAATGCTGCAGCTGCTTGTTTAAGGGTCAACATATTGCAACATCAGTAGAAATATTATAGAAGGTTATAAAAATCCATAAATGTGTGGATTAGTCTGTACAAATGTATTAGTATATTCATATATTTCATGACCAAATAAAGGTCTATACATAGGTCCATGTCCATGGGATGTGTGCATTCCTGGATAGGCAGAGGATTCAGTTTCCTGCCCTTGTTCCCCCTTTGCCTCTGCTCTGTAGGGCTTGGGCCAACGAGATGCATGCACTCGTGATATCTGAGGAGCTGGCAAATGATGTCCTGGGAGCTGAGCTGCTTATCAAGCGCCACGAGGAGTACAAGCGGGAGATAGAGAAGCAGTGGCTAAAATACGAAGAAATGCAGCGGGCCGGAGACGATCTGATGAAGAATGGCCATTTCATGTCTGCGGAGGTGTGTTGATGATGGATTCAGTATTTTACAAGTACGAGTAAACTAAGGAGATTTGTTAAATGGGCAGACGTCCAGCTGTGGTAGAGTAAAAGAACTTTCAGTAAGTTTTCAGAACTTCTGAAATGAAAAGCCATCACAGATTTAGAGATGTGCCTCTCACTTCTTGAGACTTTGAAGAAGCACCTTTTAAAGTTCTTCTTCACTCCCCTAAAAACTGAGTTTTGAATCTAACCATAAAAGGGAGGGCAGTCACTGCATTGATGATAGCTGTGCAGAGGAGTAGGAGATATTGCTGTTCCACAGAAAAGATGAGCCACACAAAGAAGTTTTTAGCATTTAAATACACAAGAAGTAGGATAGAATAAATTACAGTGCAAATCAAATAGACAGTGTGGTGAGATCAATAAGAACAATGGAAAATAAGCAATTCTTCAGAAGTTTTAGAAGACTAACTTAACTTTAAAACTACTCTGATCTTCTTGTCTAAGTAATTGTACATTTTGGCCTTGCAATGACTCAGTGGATCCAGAGATTGCAGAAACATCTTCAGTGGATACAAGCTTACATTACTTCCACTGCAAAGAGAACGAATGTGTTTTCAAAAATTTAAGAATTTCCATTGTCGACATGCCATAAATGCATAATGTTTTTGAGCCTTCTGGGTTAGCATCGTAATATTATCTATATGTCATTTGAGTCTGGAAGGTCAGAGTACACATTAGAAGGATATCGAAAGATAGTCTACCTGGATTATTCACTTGCTGGCATTACAATTGTTATTTTTCTAGATTGAAGAAAAATTGTTAGAGCTTTCAGAGCTGATGAAGAAGGTGAAGGATAGCTGGGACATGAGGAAAGAGTTGTATGAAGAAAACTGGGAGATTCAGTTGCTCCGGAGAGAACTAGAACAAGCAGAAGGATGGCTGGCTGCCAAGGAGAGCTTTCTTTTGGATCCTAGCTACGGGGTCAGTACCACCATTTGGCTGGATGGATTGCACAGGTCTGAAAATCTCAGACTTAACTTCTGTGTATGCTGCTGATTTTTTCACTCAGGATTCACTGTCTGAGGTAGAAGAACTATTGAAGAAACACCGGGATTTTGAGAAGATGCTTGCAGCTCAGGAGGAGAAATTTGCTCAACTCAACAGGAAAACTAAGGTGAGAAGGAATCTCCATGTGAGACAGCATGTTGTCACAGGATGAGCTGGTTGCCTAGATGTCTGGGTCTCAGTCACTCCTTGGTAGAATGAATTACTGTGGTGAGATGGAAGAAATGAATGTCCAAAGCTGACCTACTGGAAACAGCAGATGAGAAAATGAGTTGTCTACAGATCAGTAGCATCCGAGTAGCAGAGAAATGGAAGTTTGTTCTTCCAGGAGGAGCAGCAAAGAGGCTGCATAGCAGAGCATGCGCTACTGTATGAAGGCCAGAGTGATCCCTCACAATGACTTTAGTCAGTAGGTTGAAAGAGTTTTGAGTCTGCCTTTTGCTCTGCTTTTGCAGATTAGCCAAACAACAGCACAGAGGTCCTTCCTCTCTAAAGTGAGAATATTCCTGGATACTCATCATCCCTATAGTAGACTAAAAGCAAGCAGTGCTGCAATAAGAGACACAATTTCTCTGGAGATTATCAAAGTCTCAACCTCTACAGATTTTGGAAAGGGCTGGGTTTCATTTGAGATTGATTTCCACAAATGTTTATAATTGGTAAAGTAACACTGAGGACATAGCAATTAAGTTCAGTTCTGACTCTAAAAATGCTAGTGGAGGTAGTCTTTTAAAGTCAGTGACAGGAGAAAGTGTATTTGAAAATTATTCTTGCTTAAAATAAAATATTTCTAAGTAATCATAAGAACTCATGGGCAATATCACAAATGTAATGTTTATGTCCTGCAGAGGGAGATGAATCTTCTGAAACAAACTGACAGAGAAGAGAATGATCCAAAAGATCAAGGCAAAATAGTACGGGTCCCCTCTCTGAAAAGGAAGACATCTGATAAACGGAATCAGTCGCCAAGAGTGATAGAGATAAAAAGCACAAAGCCACCACCGACTGCTCCTCTACCCAGCCTGGCCTTGGGAGCACCCCTTGAAACAATTTTCTCCCCTCTTGAGAAGTCTCCAGCAGCATTTCAGCTGTTGAGTCCTGAGGAAAGCACCAAAACAGAGATGAAAGATGAGAGGAGACTCAGTGAGACGATCCCTCCACCTACACCAAAGCCAATGGGTACCCAAGCTACAACACTGGAAAGTCACAGTTCTCCAACATCTCCCCTAGCTCCTGCTCTCCCAAACCAGCAAGGCAGCAGTGGTTTGTTGGAATCACGTTCTCCAGGCCTTTCATCTCCCCAAGAAAAAAATGCCAGAGGAGTCTCTCTGTCCGACCTGCAGACAAAAGCAGTGATAGCTCCACCTGAGGCTGGCCAAAGGACACAAGATAAATCACCAAATTTATTGCTGTCTGGTTCCTCTCAGGAGATATTAGAGAACGCATCTTCTGTAAGTCCTGGGGATTTCTGACTTTATCCTCACAAAACCAATGTCTCATGCTACCATGGACTAGTTAAAATAGCAGAATAGTTCTGTAAAGAAGTCACAAAAAGAACTGTATGGTGGTTCTTTCAATGCATTCCCTCGTGGAGCCAAACAGCAAGAACATTTAATGTGCTTGTGCAAAACTGATATATTTTCTAGAAAGATAGGTGACTTTCCCAGCTAGGCATAACTTAAAAGTCCTTGAGTGGTTCCTCATTTCAAAATGTTTGGATGGCAAACAGACATAGTAATTGTACTTCAAGGAGTCTGTCCCATGTAAACAGTATGTGAATGTACCTTGTTCAGTATAGTCATATATATTTGCACTTTGTGTTGCTCCAGCTAAGCAAATGCCTGCATTAAAAACAAAACCTTTAATGAATACATTGTGGTAGAGGACATTGCATGAGAAAACCATTCTAAGTGGCCATGAACTATCTTCATTTAGGGAGTAAATTAGAGATGTGACTGCAATCTATAGAGCATTTCTAGATGTGCTGTGAACATACAGGCTTAGAGGCAGCAGAGATCAGTTCTTCTGTGTGGATTATACCTATAAATAGTGCCAGAAATTCTAACACATACCTATGGGCTCCTTTAAAGTTACATAGTTATATGTAACCTTGTGTGTCACTTGCAGGTTTCTGCAAGTCTCCAGCACATGGAGGGATTCCTCGAAAAGAGAGACCAGCTCCTTCCAGGAAGACAACAGGTAGAAACAAAAGCCCCCACTCTGGGTTAATTCATTTGTCCTTGAATTATAGTCCAGAGAGCGACTTCATCAAGATAAACTCTTGCTGAAGGGTCTTCAGGGCTGTGGACTTAATTCAGTGTCCACAAAAACCATGAAGAAGTCTCCATTGACTTCAGCAATACTTGATCTCGTCCTTGGCAGGAAGGCAACTTAATTGTTGCCTGTCAGGGGAGTCATGCAGTACAGGGTCAGTGTGCATTTGATGGATTGATTAACAGAACCTGGGCTATATGACAGCTAATTGTATTCCCCTTTGAAAAGAGTTAAGACCCTACACTGGGGTGTGATGTTTTGTCAGCAGTGAAAGCACCCCCATCCAGTGCTTCCAAGGTCTTCAGTTTCTCACTGTATTAGAAGAGAATTGAGGGACATGAGGAAAGAGTTGTATGAAGAAAACAGCTCCTCTTTGGTAGTGGGTGGAAGAAATGGTTTGTGTAATCCAGGGCTGAAAGGAACTCAAATCTGAATTCTCATTCTGGTAACACATATGGCTTCAGTTCAGTAGGATAATGCTCACAACAGTGCAAGAGATTTTCTAATTTACCACAAGTATGCAGACATGTGAGTGTTTGCTTTAGTATGGAATGCCAACAGGTTTTCTTGACTCGTTTGTCCAACGGACTGTTTCTTCCTCAAAAACATTTAACTTGCAAGAACTCTTTAAAAGAGAAATCCATTCTGACTTTCATCATCTGGAAGCAAAATTAGTTATCCCTCTGTTCCAGATGTACTGCATTATGTTTCCTGTATTACTGCCCTCCTATCTCACCAACTAAGAAAAATTATGATGCATCTTCCTTAGGATTTTCTTTTTCCATTTCAAGGATCCCATGACACAAGGTTAACCTTTTACAGCTGCAGGGGATAGCTTAGGAAGTGAAGATTTCAGCAGCCACATTAGAATGAAGCCACATATGGACCAAAACTAGAATATGACGAACAAGCATGGGACAGTGTTCTAGCAGCTGGAGAAGTAAAGCGGGGATTTCAGTGGCCAGAAATAGGCACAGCTTTGAAAATCCATCCTCTCCCGAAGATGCTGCTGATCACAACCCAATGCAGAGCTTGCTTGTGCCATGTTATGTCACTTGTTGTCCTGCCTCACAAAGGTCCCTTGGCTGAATCACCTCCCCATTAACTACAGCAGGCTCTGTTTTTCTAGGAGAAAATCATGAGCTTCTGTGATTTATCATCTGGGCAGCTCCTGGCTCAGTATGGAAGCTGCACACAGAATTAAATTAAAGGTATAATTAAATATATATCTATTAATTGGATTTTTATCATTGTTTCTGTTCATATAGCCAGGCTCAAGGTCTTGGAAATTTTTCTATGTAAAACTTGATGGTCTCAAACTTGATTTCTATGATGATGAAAAAGAAGCCTCTAAGGTAATTTCTTTTTTCTTTTTGAATCTTTCCAATAATCATTCTGTGTTTCCCTATTTAAAATAGAATTTTAAAAAGATTTACCTTGGTTTTGTTTGGGACTAGAGATAATTAGTAACCCTTCAAATGTTAGTGGGGTCAGATCCAACAGTTGTTCCATAGACACCAACCATAAAACTGAAAAAAAAAAAGCTTTCAGAGGTTTTTTTGAAGCTATTCTTTAAAAGAAGTATCTTAGTCAAGAATTATTTTTGAGATAGAGTGCAATACTCTGCTGTTCCTTTGCTCTGTGCCTTTTGAATAGTTCCTTCCTGGTCAGTGACCCTCGTAGTACTTTTAGAAGCAGAAAAAGGCAGTGTGGGTGAGTAGTCAGTCTGCAAGTTGGAATGGGATTGAATGCTAGGAGAAGGACACAGAAAACATTCTGCTCTAATTTCCTCCTCCTCAGAAGGAATCCACACTCCTCTCTCTCAACATTGCTGGCGCCACATGTGAGAGGCTGATGAAGTATATCAGGAAAGAGAACGCCTTCATGTTAAGGTAAGCCATATAGAGAAACCTACAGAGCAAGTCTACATGATTGCATTTACTTGCAGTAATCCCAGGCTGTTGCTAAGAGTCATAGCTGAAATCTCCTGCAGTGCTAAGGACTGGGAGGTGTAAGGTGAGACTAACTGGAATGCCTCTCTCCTGTCCCTGTTTATAGGCTGAGAGATGGAGCAGAGTATTTCTTTGCAGCACCTTCTCAGATGCTGATGGAGGACTGGCTGCAGTCACTGCAGAATAATATAGGTAGGTTCTCACTTGCTTCAAAGATGAGCTGTGTTGTTAGCAAGTGGTGGTGTAGAAAGGGAAGACAAGGAAATTTTCTAGTCTTTCCTGAGCTGTCCCTTTTGTTTGTGTTAGACAGCAGTCCATGAGTCACGTTGCCACGTAATGACCTGGCAGGAGGGTATTCAGGGAGGCTTGAAAAGCAGCTTCTCAATTACACTGTGTCTGGCACCAAGTTATTGCCAGGGAGGGGCCCTGCCCATGGGCTGTTTCCATCCTTTTAATCAAGGGCTGCTTTAGTTCTTGGCCAGCAGCTCTTCTCCAAATCTAGCTCTCATTCTGGACACCTCAGTACGCAGTGGCCTGCTGTGATACCCAAAATGATGCCAGGCCACAAACATAACTGATGGTGGGACAAATTTTTTGGTGGACCCAGAAACGCTAGACTGCCTCTTACTCTACCTGAGAAAGTTTTTGTTGTTGTCTGACACTCTGCAGGACACAGTAACAGGCCAAAGGTGCAGCCTTCTGTTCCAAATACAGAGACTCCTCAGAAAAGAGTGTGGGACTTTCCAGAAAGAGACTCTGCTGAAAGACTAACGAGCAAAAGCTCTCTCTTGAGGTAAGGTCTCTGTGCGTCAAGGATGGGCTGATGTTTGTATTTAGGTAGCAGTCACCTTTTCCACAGGTCAGAAAGCCCCAGTCCTCTGTCACTAACCTAGCAGAACATGGTATTCTTGAGTAGCACCCAGCTTCACTCCACAGTCGTCATTTATGATGGGCTATGGCCAGTTTTCACCTGTGGGACCTCACTGAAGTCAACCGTGTCCTGTCTGTGGCTGTTGACTTAAAATGGGACACACAGGGATACGTATGGTGTCTCTCAGGCCGCAAAAATGTTACACAAACACAGGCATTGAACATATAACTACTGAGCCTGTCAGGAAATTTGGACCATGTGTAAAATCCTCTTGTGTGCGTTTGGGATCTGTAGGAATCTTACAGACCACTATGTGAAATCCTGGTCCATCTGCCAGGTGGGTTTTTGCTGCTGAGTTAGATGGCTAACAAAGCTCTTGCATAAACATAGAGGCTTAAGTTCATTCAGGTTATCCCTGAGTTTATGGTGATGCTTGTTGTTGATAGGAGAACACCTTCCTTCAAAATCAAACCAGAGAAAGAGCCTGCAGAATTTTCCAGAGATTTTAAGGAAGATGGGACTGAAGTAACACGAGCGTCCATCACCACATTGAGACCAGAACAAAGTGGTAATTTAAAAAAAAAAAAAAAAAAACTGCCTCTCTCTCTGCTAGAAGCAGGAAGATAGAAATGGCATTTGCCCCAGTGAACATCACAGCCTTCACTACTACATTCTTAACCCAGCCCTTTGGAAATGTATTGATATATTTTAATTAAATCACTTTCTTGGAACTTGATGGAGGCACTGTAGCATAACAGTGCACCAGAGGCAGCTGTGTTTAAAAGTAGTAATGCCTCTAAGTATGGTAATAGGTAATTAAAATAAGTTCCAAGAAAATGATTAAATTAAATTCATCCCATCACCTAGGATGTACGAGTGTATCTGCTCCACGTGGACCTCTGAGCCAGACAGCTCAAGTGAAGTGGCTCTATGGGGTGGAAATGGAGAGCACTGAGCAGAGAGCAAAGTGCAAACTGTGCCTGAGCAGCAGCTCCCTGCAGGGAGCTTTGCCAATATCTACAGATAAGACTCAAAAGAAGAGCATTGTTCAGTCCGTACACCACAGAAGCACAGGTCACTTAGAGTACATTTATTATATAATTCCTATAGTGTTTTGTAGCCCCTATAATCTTTCATTTTTACAATAGGTTGGTTAGCTATTTCATAACTATTTGCCAATTCTTTCTGGATCAAGTTACCAGGAAAAAGAAGTTACTAATTTTTAATGGACTGCAAAATAAAATCACATATAAACAATCAGTCTCTCAGTGTAAAGGGAGAGAAAAAGCAGGATGCCAAATAGGACGTCTACAAACCTGACCATACCTTTGGGAAAGCTTAAAAACTAGGTTGATTTTTGTATTAACATGAACCTACTAGGAGGCTGGATTGAGTAGCAAGTGTATGAGATGGTCTTTGGGGGAACATGAGGGATATGGGCAAAAAATCACATCCTCTAGTATGTTATCTCTACAAAGTCTCATCTCTTCTCATTACACTCTTAGCTGTCTTTGCTCTTAAACTTCTGCAGCCAAAGAGTGTTTCAGGTGCACACCAAGATGACCAGCTTTTTCTCCCCGCAGCACATGCCGCAAGTCGCAGCGCGATGCAGCAGCAGCAGCAGCAGCAGCAGCAGCAGCAGCAGCAGCAGCTCCGTTGAAGGCAAGTGACCCCCAGCAGGAGGAGTCTTTGTCTGCCAGGTAGGGGCCGGGCATTTCACCTTAGAGGGCACTCAGATAGTTCAAGCAAGGTTTCCCCTCGGTAAATCCATGCTGGGTATTTCTGATGATTATTTCCTTCCTTCGTGGGCTTGCAAATGGAGTGCAAGACAATTTGTTGCAGGATCTTTCTGGGGCCTGAGGCAAGGTTGTTGGTCCCATCCGTAGTTCACCAGGTCTTTTTTTCTTGTCTTCCCTAAAAAAATCTCTTAAGATTAGCCTTTACCAGTCACTTTACCTCCTAGCCACCATAATTCTTCGTAGGTGGTAGCGCAGGGTTCTCACAGTTGCACCTACACGAGGCCTGCACGCCCACGCTCATGTGCACCCGTGTGCAGGTGGGAGGAGAAGCTCGTGTTCCCAGTTCTCCATCCCAACAGCAGTGCTCTATTACTCTTTCCTTTTCAGATGCTAAAATGGAACAGCCCAGTGTGAAGACAAGGACTGGTTCTACCACTGACCACAATGAAATAAGATCTACAGCCTGATGGAAAGGAGGAGATGCAAAAAGAAGGAAAAAAATATTTTGAAATGTTCTTTACTGTGGAATAAGAGCTCAGCTTGGAGATATTTTCTGGGTAATATGATCTCTTTCCCTTCACAACACGTTGTTGCCTTGGAAGCAAGATGACAAGTCAAAAAAAAGTACATATGGAGAGAAAGGTCTGATTATATAATCACAATGGAAGAAAAGAGTTGTCATCATTTTCAGGAACTGAACAGTCACAATGCAGGTGGCCAGAGCTGCTAGCGTAGGAAGGACTTCAGTCTCAAAATTGTTAGAGAATGTTTTTTGGAATGAAAGGAATTAGATGCTGTTGGGTGTATACATCACTCTCAGGGATCATGGTTCTTGCCAAATCAAGTTTCTGTGGTCTGGGATGAGATGTGGCTAAGAATAACTGCACCTCGATCCCAAATCTCCAGGGATGAAAGACGAGTGCACTCCATGCTTTGTCTCCCCTCACAATATTTTCATGCCCTGTTTTACGTGGAGATGCTCATGTAAGGACGCGTTGCCTCGTCTGTGCAGAGCTTCTGTGTGAGAGCTCTGCCTGCAAAACACTGGAGAACAGCACAATCCTCACTCATCATCTGACAAAAAAACATTTGGCAGCCGCCTGAGCGTCAGGCCTGGGAAGAAGGCAAATAAGAGGGCAGTAATTTCCTAATAAAATGAACTCTTCAGGGCTTGCCAGATTCTCTCAGGGAAGACCTTTAACCTGTCAAAAGTGATTCAGCCATTAGAAATGCAGAACACCATGGGAGTAAATTATTGAGTGTAAACCTGCCTTTCTGCACCTGCCAATGGACCAATGCACTTTCTGCTGCTCCACTGTAAATCCTTTTCAATAATAAAAAAAGGACCTGATTGATGACCTCTATGGGCTCTGACACCTAAGCTGAAGGCACGCTTGCAGACACCCGGTGCTAAGGTGTTCACGGCAGTTTCTGCAGTATTTTCACTGGTATTGCAGTCACCAGTTTCCTGGGGAAATAAAGAGGGAAACAACTCTTTCTCATGTACCAGTGGGAAACCTGGCGTTGTTTCATGTAGGCAGCTAGTGCTTTATTGCAAATGTTAATAGAAGAGCAAATTAATGCTTGGGTTTCTAAGCATCCACACCCACCCACTGGTAAATTATAGGTGCAGCCTGTGCAGCACTTTGTGTCCTGGTGCAGGTCTCCTGGTATTTTTCCTAATAGGAAAGACCTCATGGCCTGCTGCTATCACCTCTGGATTGCTCAATCTTTACTTTTTTACCAGTTCTAACTTGTAAAGCAGAAGCCTTATGGGCCGTATGCTCCCCAGGGGGGACCCCATCCATGTAACCCTTCCCAACAAGTTACATTTCAAGGTCCACGTCCTCCCCAGTACGCTGCAGGTGCACAAGCCTTTGCTTCTCACAGGCTCTAAGGTACTGTAGAAGCTCTAGTAGCTGTTGGAAGTGTGGTTTTTGATGCCTGAACCAAAGAGATAGGCATTAACATTAAGAGAAGTAGTCACAGAGCATTGTCACAGACTCACAGAATGGTTAAGGTTGGAAGGGACCTCTAGAGATGACCTAGTCCAACTCCCTTGCTCCAGCAGGGACACCAAGAGCACGTGGCATCCAAGCAGCTTTGGAAGATCTCTAGAGAAGGAGACACCACAGCCTCCCTGGGCAGCCTGTTCCAGGGCTCTGTCACCCTCACAGGAAAAAAGTTCTTCCTCACATGGAGATGGAACTGCCTGTGTTTCCACTTGCACCCATTGCCCCTTGTCTTGTCACTGGCCACCACTGAGAAGAGCTTGGCCCCTTCATCCTTACATTGCCTCCTCAGGTACTTACATCTATTGATCAGATGTCTTCTCAGTCTCCTCCAGTCTAAACAGGCCCAACTCAGTCTCTCCTGATACGAGAGATGTTCCAGTCCCTTAATCATCTTTGTCACTCCCCCCTGGACCCACTCTAGAAGCTCCACGTCCCTCTTATACTGGGGTGCCCAGAACTGCACACAGTACTCCAGGTGCAGCCTCACCAGTGCTGAGGAGAGGGGCAGGATCCCCTCCCTTGACCTGCTGGCAACACTCCTCCTGATGCAGGCCAGGATCCCATTGGCCTTCTTGGCCACCAGGGCCCTGCTGCCTCATGGTTAACTTGGTGTCAACCAGGACTCCCAGGTCCCTCTCTGTGGAGCTGCTCTCCAGCAGGTCAACCTCTAATCTGTCCTGGTGGTTGTTCCTCACCAGGCGCAAGACCTTGCATTTGCCATTCTTGAACCTCATGAGTTTCCTCTCTGCCCAACTCTTCAACCTCTCCAGGTCCTTCTGAATGGCGGCACAGCACTCAGGAGTGCCAGCTTGGTATCGCCTGCAAACTTGCTCAGGGTGCCCTCTGTGCCCTCATCTGAGTCATTGATGAACAGGTTGAACAGCACCGGGCCCAGTACTGACCCTTGCAGGACACCACTGGCCACAGGCCTCCAACTGGACTCGGCCCCATTTATCACCACCCTCTGAGCTCTGCCATACAGTCAGTTCTCAATCCACCTCACTGTCCACTCATCTAACCCATACTTCCTGAGATTTCCCCATGAGGATGTTATGGGAGATGGTGTCGAAAACCTTGCTGAAGTCAAGGTGGACAACATCCGCAGCTCTCCCATCGTCTCTCCAGCCAGTCATCCCATAGCAGAAGGCTATCAGGTTCATCAAACATGACTTCCCCTCAGTAAATCTGTGCTGACTATTCTTGATTGCCTTCTTTTCCTTCACGTGCCTAGAGATGTTCTCTAGGATGAGCTGCTCCATCACCTTTCTGGGGACGGAGGTGAGGCTGACCAGCAGGTAGTTTCCCAGCTCCTCCCTCTTGGCCCTTCTGAAGACCAGAGTGACATTAGTTTCTTCCAGTCCTCCAGCAACTCCCCTGCTCTCCATGACCTTGTGAAGATGATGGAGAGTGGCTGGGCAGTAACCCATACCAGCTCCCTCAGCACTCTTGGGTGCATCCCATCCAAGCCCATAGATTTATAGGTGTCTAGTTTGCCTAAATAATCCCTAACCCAATCCTGCTTGACCAGTGGAAAGTCTTCCTGTCTCCTGGTTGCCTCTCTCATATCCGGGCTCTGCAGTTCTTGGGGGCCAGCCTTAAGCAGTGAAGACAGAAGCACAGAAGGCATTTAGTAACTCTGCCCTCTCTGCCTCCTCCATCACCAAGGCACCCTCCCCATTCAGCAGCGGGCTAACATTTTCCCTAGTCTTTCTCCTGCTGATGTTGTATTTGTAGAAGCTCTTCCTGTTGTCCCTGACATCTCTTCCTAACTCATAATTCCAAACAGGTTTTGGCCTTCCTTCTTGCAACCCTGCATTCTCTAACAAAGTTCCTATATTCTTCCATGCAGCCTGGCCCTTATTCCACATTTCTTTCTTATAGAAATGCACTGATTCTGAGCTTGGAGAAAGTGGTGTATGAACATTAGCCAACTCTCCTGCTCCACCTTTCCTTCTAGGACTCTGGCCTAGGGGATTCCTCCAAGGAGCTCCCTGAAGAGGTCAAAGTCAACTCTCTTGAAGTCCAGGGTTGCAATCCTACTTCTTGCCCAGCTTCCTCCATGCAGGATCGTGAATTCCAACATCTCATGGACACTTTAGCCAAGACTGTCCCCAACCTTCACATTTCCCACTAGACTATCTCTTTTTTTTAGTATCAGGGCTAGCACTCTCCCTCCCCTTGTTGGTTCATCAACCACCTGCATCAAGAAGTTATATCTGCAATGTTCTGCAGCAACCTCCAGTGTATGTATGTAATTCTTCAATAGCAGGCCTATAATGAGAAGCTGGTCACTTCTGTGGCTCCTAAGGCTAAGGGGAAGGTATTATCCTTGGTATTCCACACTTCCCATTAACTGGATAACAAAGGATTCCTTTCAGAGAAAGGAAGACCTCTGCACCCATTTAGCAAAATCACCAGGCAGCAATATTGTTTTGTCTCTTGGTTGTGGCCCAGTACAGCTCCGTTCCTGCCCTATCTTATGCCAGCCCACAGGAAACGGTTTAGTTGCTGCTAAGGTCAATTTTGGCCACTTTTACAAGGTTCTCAATGCATTTGTGAGCCAGAACCTCTGATTTGTTCACCCAGTCCTGAAACCTGTAACTGTTCCACAAACTGCTCAAGTCAGTAATGACCTGACCCAAGTCAGTAAATGTCATCCTCTATTTAAGGCATAAAAAGATTTCCATGGCTCCAGTGCTCCTTATCCAATATTTTATTTTTTCAAGATTTTATTGTCAAACAGTTACAAGATGCAGGCTATTTCTATAAAGAGTGAGTAAGAGATAGAAAAGCTTTTGTGTCCTCTGCATTTGGCAGCAGATAGCGAGCTCTGCATTTGTGTGGGTTTTCCGGACAGATATCCATCTGGGAGCAGGGACTGGGGTGCATTTTGGACGTGTTTTCTGCACGTGTGACTCTGCCTTCAGCAGTTAAGCAGACAGGAATCGCTGAGAGCAGCACGGGCCTGCCCAGAAACCCACCACGGGCCTCGTCTCGCGAGCGAGATGCGCAGAAGTAGCTTCTTGTCACAGTATCTGCTTTGCTCGTCATTGCTTCAAGTCAACCAGGCATTTGGCAGCACAAGGCCAGACAGGAACAAACGCTCAGCATTTGAAGAACAAACACCCCATGTTGCAGTAGTTCAGTGATCACTAAGACTCTGTTTGTGTTGCAAAAGAAAACAGAACCAAAGAGCAGACCAGATAGTTTCTGATTATCCCTATTTCTTCATACAACTGTGATCCACAGCTTTGTGGGATTTGGGCTGCATGGATAGGCCTCAGGTCCTCCCACCAGGCCGAGAACATATTTCCACAGCTTCATAATGACAAAAGAATCAACCCAACCCAACCCAAAACCACACACACAGGCAGTGACACAGCCCTCACGTAATTCCGGCTCCTTGAAATGCAAAAACACGTTAAAAATCGGTATTGTCTTTCAAGGCTGCAGGGGTAGCACCCAGGGCCGGCGCAGCTCAAGGGACGTGAGCAGCCCCTGCCTCTCGCTTGCGAGGCCAGCCCCAGGCCGCGCTGCTCAGCGGTGTGGGCAGAGCCGGTTTGAGGTACAGGGAGCTCCTCCTCCGACCTCCCACAGGCACCTCGGCCCCAACCGCCCTCAGTTCTGCCCTTGTGTGCAGTAACGTGGCGCTGGGAGAGGCGGGGAGGAGCTGGGTGTCCCAAAGTGAGGCGTGGGCCCTCCTCGCCCGTCCCTACCTGCTCGTTGGCGACACAAGGAGCTGTGGTGCCGAGCGCAGGGCGCTGCCCAAGGTGACATGTCAGCCTGGTGCCCCCTTGGGCAGCGCCCTGCGCTCGGCACCACAGTGGATGCAGGCTTAAGGCACTGCAGCTTTCTCTAAATATTCTTCTTCTGACCTTGGCTATGATCTGTACACACCAACAAGGCAGACCTGTATTTCTCTTTGTTTAATGTTCAAGTAAAACCAATTCCAGTTGCCAAGTAGATTTCCAGTACATACAAAATTTGTAAGCTTTTCCTTGGAGGTCCCAGTGCCAGTCCAAATCCTTCAGTGCTATAAAACAAGGCATTTTTGACTTCTGTGGAGCTCTGTTGGTTTGTACCAGATGAAGCTCTGTTTCACATTGCTCAGCATCCTTCCCTAACATTTTTTGTTTAAAATAGCAAAGGACTATAAGGATATTCCAAGCTCTGAGCTCAAAGTAATGTCTCTTATTGCACTCCAAAGCAAATGAAAACCAGGCAACGTTTTCCCCCGAACATTCTTCTCCAGCAAAGAGGTGTGAAAAAGAATTTCCTTTTTTTATTATTTGTGTTCTACTATTTTAGTGTAGCACCTATTAAAAAATATCTTGCCTATGATGTTAGGGTAAAAGACTGTAAAGGGAGAAAAAAAAAAAATCTTCCGATTGCGAAAAATGGAATACTCAGTGTTCCATGAGTGGTTATTTTACATTCAGTACCAATATATAAGAAAGGATCCCTAGCCTATATCTCAGTCATTAAATTAAATATACCTGTGCCTAAGATGATGAGTCCCCTGGATTTTCAGTTGTCAAAAGCTTGTTTCAGGCTTCTGATATGTTAGTTCATAAAGGCACTACCCGGTATAAATCACTGTGATGTCTCGTGCGTGAGGCAGACGTTTCCCTCGTGCCAGCGCTCGGCACAGCCGTACTCACCCGCTGCAGCCCGCATCATCTTCCCTTGAAATGTAACTGCCCCTCAGCAGCAGTCTAGAGCAGCATTTCTGTGCCAAACAGCGGAATAAAGGAGTAATTTCTAATTCAGCAAGGGAGATTCGCCAGTCCGAATGTCACTGTCCATGTTGTAGCTTGGCCATCGTTCACGAATATTCATGACTTTGGCCTCACTTCAGAGCTGAGCCCACCAATTCAACGCAAATCGAGCTGCTCAGGCTGTCCTGAAAATCTGGACGTGATTGAATGCAAATGGCCAGGACTTGCTTTGGAATTAATTGTCCAAAAGACACTGGTAACGGGCTCAGTATGGAGGGAACAGAGGTATACCAAAAACTACTACTATCACCATCACCAATTTTTTTTTTAAATACCAGGGAGTTCCTGGAAGATCTCTGCTAATCAGGACCCAGCTTCTTGACAAATAAAACCACACTGTGATGTAGTCATGGTCTGGCAACCTGGCTGGGGCTGAGGGGAGGGGGTTAAATAAGCCCTTTGAAAGCTAGGAACTTGAACAAGGAATGATAAGAAATGTACAGGTTCTCCCATTTCCTGCAAAAACCCAGCCTAGGTATATCTGGCTGCAGAGTAGCTGGGTAGATTCCCAATCCTGCTACTTCTCCTCCGTTCCACAGCACTCCGGATTGCCTGAAGGAGCAGGTCTTTGTTGTTGAGGATGTTGTACTTGCACAGGTTGACCAGTTTATCAAAATTTTCAGAGGAGTAGATTAGCCTGATGAGGTAGTAGGGAGAGCAGTTGTTCTCCAGATTTACATTGCCCTCTTCCATCTCTGTATGACAGCGCTTTACCCCTGCAGAGGAAGAGAAAAGCCACCATGGTGAGCTCAATACAGACAATAAAACACAAGTGTCAAAGAGGATTGATCTAGTTAGCAGAATCAGTAATTTAAAACAGCCTGCAGGAAAACTGTGCTCCCTGAGAGGGCAGACCTCCCCACATGCCTTGAAAAAGCCATTCCTAGTCACCTTTCCCTTCCCCTCCCTGCTAACATTCAGATCTGAAAATCCTTGAGGATTCCCTTTCATGCCACTACGGACAGTAATCCCTGGGCATTATACTCCTGAGTATCCCTTCTCAAATCCTTTCTCAGATCCTTCTCTGTTGATGGTCAGAGAAGCCACAACCCTGAAATACTTTCCCAAAGTCATGACCTGAGCTGGTGGTCAGGATATCTGCTGGCCAGAGTGAGGAGACAACCTAGTACATCCAAGGAGTCCGTGTGATGCTAACCAAGCAGAATTGCCATTCCAGTCTCTGCTTCCTGGTGTGTCAATATTTTTGCTAAGTAGCAACAGACCTTAATTACCTCCAAGGGTCAATCATGTCAACAAGCTCTTATTTATGTTCCTTTTTACCTAACTTCTTACAGTTTGAACTAAATGTGTCCAAAATAAAAGTGTAATGCTAGATGATTGGCAGCTGGGCAACAAACAGGCAGCATTTGAGAAATTGAGATATATACAATGCCTACAAGAACCACAAAAAAAAAAAAAAAAAAAAAAAGATACATGAACTACCCTTGAGACACAGCAGGGTTTAGTCTAATCTAGTGGTTTCTTGGCAGCATGACCTCAAGGTGTTGGGCCCAGGGTGCTACTACAGTGGCCATATGACAAAGATCCAAGTTTTGTTTCATCAAGCCTCTTAGGATTAGGAGAACCATATAACCTTAAACCACACAAACACAGTGCTGCCCACATCCATGCAGCTGTCTCAAGCACACAAAGCAATGCTGTTAGCTGCAATGTAAATGTGCACCTGGAATGCTGATTCTTTCTCTTTTCTAGAATTTAAATAATTAAAAGCATTTAAAAAAAAAAAGAAAGAAAGAAAGAAATGAGACGAAAAGTTCCATTGCTCATCTTAAAACCACAAAAATTCCCAAGGGCTCTCCTCCCCCAGCCACCCACACGAGCTGCTGGCTGTCAGCTTGATGGATGAATCACCCCGACACACGCAGGTGAGTGTCACAGCTCAAACACTTGGGCCTGGAGCACTGAGAAGCTGCTGCAGCTGCTGTGCTCTGCATGAGCTCATCCAGCCTTCATTCAGGGTGATTTTTAACCTGTTTACCTGCTAGCCCCTGCTGAGCAGCCTTACGTGACTGCTCCTTGGCATCTGCACTCCCTCCAGCTCTCCCCAACAGGCCTAGGCCCCTCTGCAGGGCACCTCCTCTATCTGTTCATCTCTGGAGTTTCTAAACTGGATTTTCTTGGTGTATATGTTCGTGCATGTATTCCCTGAGCATTCACTGGTGAATGTCATAGAAAACAACAACAACAACAACAAGGCATTACTTAGCTTACTGTTTTCCTGTTCTTAGCTTTCCTCCAAAAAAAGTCTTCTGCTTGCTTTGGTCTCAAAGCCACAACAGTTTTGGGCAAAGCTGGAAGGAGAGTGAATGCTCTAGTTTTTGTGCAGTGCAGTGGGGAGGGAGAGAAGTTCTTTGTGGGCCAGGTAGCTCAAAAGCTGAGAGACTTCAAGGTTGGTTGCTGTGAGAGCCCCAAGTAAAAGGAAGATCTGAGTTTAAGGCAGGCAGGCAGCGGAGACACCAGCAAGATAAAACCTATGGATTTTTGAAGGATATCCTACAAATTCTTGGGAAAACTTGGTCTTTATTGAGGTCCCCTCGTCATTTGCTGTTCCATGTCTGCATTCAAAGACATCGCCAGAGGGACATCACCTCCTTCTGACCATGTTCGTAACAGAATAAATGGACTCTGCTGTTAAATAAATGTGTACCTATTCCTTCTGCTCCGACTCCCTCCCGCCTCTCAGGCTACGAGCATCATCCTTGCCATCACTGGACAAAGGAATAGGAAACCTCTGCACAGCTTATGGATCCTAAATTGATACTGGGTAGGGCAGGGAAGATGGGGCCAGCTTAGCAAGATGTTCTAGGTTCTTTCTAGTCCAAGAAAAATTTCTAACCCTCCCTTTTTCCCAATGCCTTCCCATTTATACACAGTGCCCTTTCCAATGCACGTTGCAATATAAACTGTGGCTTGAAGTCATGGTCTGCCCTGTAACACATCACTGAGTCTGTTGTAGCTTGCTAACTTGCTTCTTGAGCTGATATGTGCAGCTTAACCTCTTCAAATATACTTTAAGCTTAATGCAGTATCCTAAACCTGGTCTGAGAGGGGACTGGACGTGCTCATTCACAGCCCTATAGACGAGGCAGTCGCGTGTGTATGGTTGCAATGGGTAGTGGACAGGGTAGTCTCACTCACAAGGGCTGAACTCTCTGTTTAAGCTATAGCCACAAAGGACAAATAAGATCCTCCTTGTAGAAAGACAGAAGGCTCAAGTTCAAGTAAAATGAATAGTTCTTACTGACTGTGAACTTACCAGGTTCCTTGAATTCCTTAAACGTATCATTTACCAGGGGAAAATGGATTACTACAGGTGCTCTGGGGTCCTCTGTATCCAAAAACACGTAACACTCCTTTGGGTTCGTCTCATCTTCTTTACTTAGCTCCACTTTCGGGAATGGAATTCCTTGTATCTTGCAATATTTATATGTCATCTCTAATTGCTATGGACACAGAATGAGATCACCTTAAAGCCAACACTAAAACAAGAATTAGGTTTACGGGGATAACATAGAAACACTGTGGCAACTGAATTTAATTCCTGGAATGGCTCTGTAATGAACGTACAGCCCAAAAAAAAACCCACAGAATAAACCTTTCTGCCACTATTCACCACAAATCAGAAGACACTTTCCATCAGCCTGCAACAGGCTTTAAAGCTAGAGTAACTAAAAAACTAAAAATAACACACAACATATCATGAGGACAGAGCAGGAAACATGATGGTCACATCTCCAGTGACCAATTTTTACTGCAATTCCCAGAGGATCCTAGGCCGTGTGTGCTACAGCCCTCTGAAGGAAAGGAGCCCAAGAGTTTCCCTAAATCTGATCTTGGAGGAAATCTCCTTCTTGTTCCAAGGTATGGTGACTGGCTTATTCTTGAGCCTATGATTAAGACTTTGACAATCATGTACTTGAGAGTTTTAATAATACAAGCATCCCCCATATTCTGTCTTAGGTCCCATTAGTGAATCCACAACCTCCTCCCCACACAAACACAGAAGCCAAATAAGCGGAGATTAATTTTCCTGACCACCGAAGTGGATCTGCAGAAGCCCCGGGATCAGTGATTAAACCTACATAAACCCAGAGCCTGCAGCACAGCCTGCAGTGATCAACCCTCATTCAGTCCTCTTCTTGGGAACCCCAACAAACACCACTGCTCACCCCATGAGCTGACCTTCCTAATGCTGGGAACACTTCCATGCCTGTCTCAGTTACCTTCAGAGCAACTGGCCATTTAGTAAGAGCAGCAGATACTACTTGGACTATTAAACCTCTCAGCTTCACAAGGAGGGTGCAACCAAGGCTGCAAGGAGCAGGATGTGTCAATCTTCTTACCTTGAACGCAGTGCCCAAACCATAATCAAGTGAGATAATGACGTCCACATTCCTCTCTGGCTTGAGGAGGGCTGCACCACTGGTGTTAATGAAATAACCAACATCGATGAGGCAAAGGGCTTTCTGCAGCGGTGTCAGGCTGTTAGGGAAAGCATCCAGCACAGTGTCTGAAAAACATTTCAAATACAATTAATGGTGCATTGGTAAGAAAAGGGGAGTCAGTAACTCTGTCCCAACCTCCCTGGGCACCGTCCCAGCGGACACTGTGGGGCAGCCAGGCAGAGGACGGGTGAGACACAGACCCCAATGGCCTTACGGCTGCTCTGGGGATTGATTTTCCAGAGAATACAGACATAGCAGGGGGATAAAAATCAGCTAAGAACTGGGGAAAATACAAACAGCAAAAACAATTTCACAGTGTGGCAAGAAACCTGGCAAATGGAGTCCATCACTGCTCTCTTGTCCAGGTGCAGACATTAAACCCCCAGGAGAGAATGCCATTTGCTTTTGCACCCTCAAGATTAGACCTCTTGCCCAGCTTGAAAAACTCTGATTATAGCCTGCTTTCAGGACCTCTCCTGCATTTTTTCTTAGTCCTCCTGCAAAAAATACCACTGAGCATCAGCAGTTCATGCGTTCAGCAGCCCCTACCAAGAGTTTAAAAAATTGCTTGACTTGAAACCAAGCACTCAGCCCCGGGGCAGGCAGGAGTGGATTAAACCAAGTGGTAAACTGAGATCTAAGCCCAACTGCTGCCTGCCAGATGCTTTTTTCTCTGCTGGCAATCCCTCCAGTCTCTGGAGTTTCTGTAGACAGAACTGTAAACTGTAGACAGTTCCTCTGTGGAAAATGCCATTACTACATTACTAGGCCCATGGAATAACCATCTTGTTTGCCATGGTTTTAAATATCAAAATAGGGGGTTAAATTGTTTCCTCGAGTTCACAAAATGAGGTAGCAAAGCTCTGAGCCTTGAAACATTCATACTTCAGTGTTCTAGGGAATTGCTGATCACAGAAATACTGCAGGTAGGTTCGAGCATTTCATTTCTTTCAATCTTTCTGCCTCTTTGGCCTCATTCTGTAGTGTTGATCTAACCAAGTAGAGTAACTCATTTGTTCCACAGCCTGGAATGTTGGACAGCATCTTGAAGTAATAACTCATATTTTTTTCCATCCCCTTTCTGTCAGATCTTTACAAAATCATTTGCTTATTTTAGCTTTCATGGCTGCTGGGAATTCACAGCGTCTGTTGTAATGAGAGGCACTTTCCTTGCAGTTCCTCACAGAAGAAACAGAGCGTGCTTTTCAGTTTTATTTGGCCAGGTGAGTATTTTCAGTTCATTTTCATTACCCCACTCTCTTCTCACTGAGATGGTTCTGTGCAGCACTGTTATTCATGCCTAGACATGTGAATCAGAAGTAGGCAGCTCCTTGGGACAGTGTTTACTTCTAATTCACACCCAAAAAGGGAAGTTCTTTCTAAGGAATTCCCTCAAAAGCATGTGTCCTGCTGTAAAGGTATTATACCGATTTGCTGTGAATCGCAAATTAATGAGATCACAGATTTGCCACCATGAAAATCAGACTTCTTCACAAGCCATTTAAAATCCTGAGCCAAATAATCTGTGCTGCAGGCAAGTCTTTAAAACACAGCCATATTCCAGAAGCTTCACCATGAGAGCATTTCTGTTCATAGAGCTGGTATCTCTTCCTGTCTTTGTGCTCGGGATGGATCCAGACCTGTTCTTTTTCCTTTGGTTTCATACAGGTAAGAAAAATAGCCTACAATATCAGCCGTTTCCCACTCCAGACTACATGCTTTCCACTTATTTATTTATTCCACTTTACGTTATTTGTAGAATATTTTTCCCAACATAGTTTTTTTTATCCTTATGCTCTCTTCCTCCATATCCTTCTTGAAACCTGCTTCTACTGAGCAGCCTTTATAGAATTGCTAGTCCAAAAACATAGGGAAAAAAAGAGATTGACTAACTGGCGATTTTAACCTTCACCCATCTTCTTATGTTGCTTGTTTTCTCCTTCTCTCACCCATCTTTCTTATGCCACCTTTTTTTCTTAGAGCAGACTCTTTTAGGACAACCACTTTTTGCTTACTGAGTATTCTGAAACACTTAGTCCACCCTTATTCCATAAAAAAAAAAAAATCCATAATCTCTCGCCACTGTCAGCGAGCCTTAGGTTTGCTGACAATGGCAGCTTTGTGCCATATTGCTGCAAATGTGTTGCAACTTGCACAAAACAGGGGAAGCAGAACTAAACTGACAAAGAGGAAGACTCAGAAGAGGCTGACAACTTAGTGTGGTTTCCTGCTAAAAATTCATCTTAACAGCATGGGGCCCTCATACACTGTTAGCTGCTCATGACAGAGGGAACAAACGAGGCAGCTGGGGTTTGTGATGGGAAGGTTTGTGATGCACAAAAACTCAGCTTCAGCACCTTGCTATCATTTCACAGAGAGTTTCATGGGTTTTGAGGTAAAACTGTCAGGAGCTGTTACATCAGGTCTATGCATTCTGTTTGAGGTAAAACATAATCAGCCTAAATCTCTGCAGCTCCTTCTGCTGTTGCATCATGTCATGCCTGTTTCTGAAGGGTCAAGGAGAGGTTCCTGTTGTGGATAAATCAGAAATACCACGTATGTGGGTAGCTACCTGTTTTCAACCAACTCATTCATTCATCCTAACCACATAATTACCTGCTAATTTTATGCTTTTCGTGTTACCCTTGTTTCTTGACCTCAAAACATTCCTCTGTGAATATTTGGACTATTGTATCCACACAGAGCAGCAAACTTCCTGTGGAAGGTCACACAAACTACAAGCTTCTTCAGGAACTGGAAGACTGGCCCATGAACTCATTAATTTTAAACTGCTATCTTTAAGAAGGAGTCACTAAACATAGCTCCATCTCACCCGATTTCCATCGCCTGAAAGAGAATATCTCTAAATGTAAGATTTCCAAAGCCTAAAAATAAAACCTGAGATGTTACCTGCATGTTGCAGCTAACTCTTTGTTGTAGTTACCTTTCCATTCAGTAAAGTCTTTCTGGTGGGCATAATCCTTATGAAATTGCAGGCCTCTTAGGAAGTTATGACTCTTTCCTAGCAGCGGACGCTTTGTCATAATATCCTGAAACATTTCATAGAGTTTTCCTGCCAAACAAGATGGAGGCTCGATGACAGTGATATCATCCTCAGGGGAATGTTTTTCTGGAGAAGGAAAATGTGAAAAAGAACATTGGTGGCCTGTTCTGCTATGCACCTCTGTTAGCTAACTGTCCTCCCCATCTTCTTGTGCATCCCAACCCTCCTTGTTTTTTTTGCAATCTGCTTGAAAACAGTTGCCCACGACCCTATTCATGTTTGGTTTTGCATAAAGCTAACCCAGCCTTTTACTCTTTCAAATGACACAGCTGCTTTACACTTTGGCCTGCAAGAAAAAGGTATCTTTTTATTTGCACGGTCAGGGAAGGAATCGTTTAATAGACTGTGAGAAAACTTTAAAGGAAAAACATTTGCAATTAGCATGAAGTATGGTTGTTGGTGAAAAAATAAAAATAGAAAGAAAATAAAAGGAGAAAGAAAAAAAAGAAGAAAAAAAAGGAAAAATAAGGAAAAATAAGAGCAAATCTTCACAAAGTGTGCACAAAAAGTGGAGTTTGCTTTCCATAACAGAATTGAATCAAAGAAATTGTAGTGCCAATGATAATCATACCAGAAGATCCACAGGAATGCAATACATAACACACCAATTTAGCAAGAACATGTAAGAGATTATCCACAAACAGTTGCAGTAATATATTGTCCTTAATTCTCTCTTCCATAGGGAGCACTCTGTGGATAAGACTGATTTTGAATCTCTTACCTATATCTACCATATCTTTGGCCCATCGTTCCCAGAATTCATTCGAATTTGAAGACCAATACAAGCCATCCAGCAAATTCCTAGTGAAAATGTTTGTCCAAAGACCTGTAAGTCAAAACATATGGTAAAAATACTGCACTAATTCATATGAATAACTATTTCATCTAAACTTTTTATTACCCATACCCACACAACATACAGTTGGTCTGCATGAATTGACCTTGCTATGATTTGCTTAAGGAAAAAAAAATCACAGAGTTCAGATTTAATGATAACTTCTCAGCACTCTTTCTCAAAAGCTGTCCACATGCAGACCATTCATTGCAGGCCAGAGAGGAACAGAACAGAGATATCAGTCACCCAAATTGTGTTTTAGAAATATCTCCTGTATACTTGTGAAAGAATGAAATTGTAAGCGATTTCTGAATGGCTGAAGCCATACAAGCTTAAGAATTTTCTTTTAATTGATCTATTTTTTAAATCTAAGGTCAGGGTGGTGGTTGTTGTTTCTTTTTGCTGCTTTTTGATTTTTTTTTCCTTTCAGGCATGTGTTGTTTCTGTGGAGTTCAAGTGACAGAGGATCAGAATGGAGCTGACTCCATAGGCCATTCTGCTTTTGGAGAGGAAAGAATTACTATTGTCATGAGCCGATGACAGGTATTCACATAACAAACAAATTTAATCTCTACTGGACTTCACAATTAAGCATTTATAATTTTGATCTCTGCTGGATCCTTTTTTTGATGTCAAGGGTTTCAGTTTTGACAAGGAATGAGATCTGCCTCAGGGAGATGGTTTCTACTCACTAGCTGCTTTTCCTCTTTTCCTTGCCTTGAGAACCAGAGCAGCCAGTCAAGGCAGTTACTGGAATTAAGAAGGCTTCCTTTATCCTGACAGGCAAGGAAGATTAGTGGAGGCATTTAGCACCATTCTTAACCCACAAAGTTCAGATGGTTTTCACCTTTGCAAGCTCTCTAATGAGTTATGTTTTATTTTTGGCTCCTTCCAATTATACTCCTGTAATACCATGCGTACAAACAGCCATGGGTCAAAGAGAGGTTTCATAGGCAAGTGAAGTGAGGTAACTTATAAAGTTACCTCACTTTACCCACCTATAAAATGACTGGTAGAGGGGAAGAGGGTTAATATTTCCTCATCTTGCCTTCTCCACCTTCTTGCTTAGCTTAGAAAATGGGAAGGGGGACCCTGCTGCAACTCTCTAAACCTGCTTGGAGGAAAAGGGAGAGAGGAGGAAATAAGTTTTACAAAGAGCTGAAGAGGGATGTGGAGCTTCTAGAGAGGGTCCAGCGGGGAGCGACAAAGATGATTAAGGGACTAGAGCATCTGTCTTATGAGGAAAGACTGAGTGAGTTGGGCCTGTTTAGCCTGGAGAAGAGAAGACTGAGAAGAGATCTGATCAATATGCACAAGTACCTGAGGGGACAATATGGGGAGGATGGGGCCAAGCTCTTCTCAGTGGTGGCCAGTGACAGGACAAGGGGCAATGGGTATAAGTGGAAACACAGGCAGTTCCATCTCCATGTGAGGAAGAACTTTTTTCCTGTGAGGGTGACAGAGCCCTGGCACAGGCTGCCCAGCGAGGTTGTGGAGTCTCCTTTTGTGGAGATCCCCCAAACTCGTCTGGATGTGATCCTGTGCCGTGTGCTCTGGGTGCCCCTGCTGGAGCAGGGGGTTGGACTAGATGATCTCTAGGGCTCCCTTCCAATCTCAATCATTCTGTGATTCTATGAAGTGTACAGAGCAGGTAAATAGTGCATTGAATCAAGATCAAGAGTAGGTCTTCTGGCAATGACAGTTTTACACAGAGCAGTAGCTAGTGAGTATGAGAACCATGCTTTCCACTGTATTTTGATTGAATTTACTGCTTGACTACTTGGTCACCTTCCAGATAGCAGATCCGAGATTCTGCTAACTTCTTCACTCGTCTTCCCATGAAGAACTCACTGTCAAAATATTCTGAAGGAATGGAGGCTCCGTATTTTGGTATGGACACCTCGTAAGGAGAAAACTCTGTCCATTCTGTAAAGGAAATGACACATGCAAAGGAACTGACACACGTTATGTTTACTGTAATAAAGAGTATTTCTCCTACAGATAAAGCTATCTACAGGTTAAATGAGTTTCGCTCTTCTCAGCAACTTCATACTATGAGTAGCTTGTAGTGCAAACTATAATGTATATTCCCATAAAACTTGAGATGATTCACAAATAGCAAGAACTGACTTTTTTTACCTCAGAAAAAGGGTCTAACATTAGCTTCAAAAGCTTTCTTTATATTTTAAAATAAAGATTCTAGGGTTCTAATTGTCTCAATAAATCAAGAGCACTAAATGCACAACAGGTGAAGTCTGATCCAACCCGCAAGGAATGATGATGATGAAGCTTCTACTAACCCATCAGTCTATATGATAAAACGAAGCCACTTGAAGACACATGAGCTTAGAACTAGAAGATACCAGAATATGGATATGGTGTTGCAGTTTGCAGTCTCAACCTCTCTTGCATAGCTGCTGAAGGAGAACAATAGCCATAAATCCAATCTAAATCTAAGCACTAAATGTTTTTTTTCTGGTTGAATGTACCCTGCATCTAGCAAAAGGGTCAGATCATATGCATCATATCAGTCATACTCATTGCTCTATTCTAGACATTTTCATACTCTCATTTGTGCAATATTTAGGGAAGTGCATTTCATGGTAGCTTTTCAAACTAAGGAACCATCATAATAATTTTGTATGTGTGAAATTGGAGCTGAAAAAAATGATAAAATTGGCTCCAATTTCACACTAGAACTTGGGCCCTTGTTCATGTGTGAGAGTGTCAACTAGCAGATCTCCTTTCTCCTATCCTTCCCCAGTAACTGCAAAGAAAAACAATCATTTTAGTAAAAGATGAGTCCTGAGCCAGGGCAAGCAAAAGAGACTTTCTCCCTGGCACACATTCCTCCAAATCTTCTTTAGTCCCTACACAGAGTCACAACTCCAAGAATACTTACCTCTAAATTTGAAAGTGCTGAACTTTTCCTCTTTGACATTGAGGACCGCATAGAAAGGCAAGGGGTTTTGGCCATGCTCCAGTGCCTTGCGCTGGTCTGTGAGTTTGTATTTTCTTGGCTAATCAAATATATTTAAAAAAAAAAAAATCACTGTAAGCCTTAAGAGTATTAAAATAAACTTCCTGAAAAAACAAGATAGGACTGATGACACAATCTACCTGAGCAGCAGCAGATCACAGACGCTTTACTACCCAAATAAATGTCAGTTACATTTTCAAAAGATAACCTTCTTTTGTGTTCCTGCATTTTCTTTCATAGTTGTCTTTTTGATACATGAATGTTCAATGATGTCTAAGTGCCTTGACTATCTGTGTCCCAGGCTAAGGCTCAGACTAACGTTCTCAAGAAGACAGATTACATCTTAAGTGTCCACCTAGAAACAGACTTTAAAAGACCTGAGTTTTCAAGGAGGGATCATTCAGTACTTTCTGAAAGCTTGGCCACGGAAGCTGTTGTCTTTTGAGCACTCCAATACAGAGGCACCATCAAACCATTAGCTACCCTGGAATCTCCTGCCCACAAGATATTTCATCACAGTTTACAAATCATATTGGAGTGGTGCAGTCACTGTGAATTTGTTCAAACCTTATCCATCCACTTTATATAAGGAGACCAAAGCTCTAAAGGAAAACAAGGAATGTTTCCCAAATCTGTGGCAGGACCAGTGTTCCTGGCAGTATCATACATACCTCATTATGCAAGAACATTTCCTGAACAAGTGACCACAGGGCTGTAAAAGATGAGATATGTCCTTCTTTTGCCCTTTCAGCTAGTTCCTGGTGATAATACTTCAAATGCTCCACAGACATAACATTCAACTTGCATTTTGTCACTTGCTCTTTTACTGCCTTAAGTGGCCCCTCCAGAGTCTTCTGTGACCAATCAGCATGCTCATAGAGGTCCGCTAGGGTCCTAAAAAAACAGAAACGTGAACAAAATAATCCATTTCATAATAGAAAATACTCTTTTCACCCAACAGAACCAACAGTAATGGCTCTACCAAGGAATAAGGGTCACTTATTAATAATTATATTATTTGAAAGACTTTGAAAGAGAATTCTCTGTGTGTGTGAAAATGCGATGCCACACATTCCAGATTCCATATATAAATCTCATCTTCTATACACACCATGTTGAGCCAGAAGCCCCAGTGATATAGGTAACACAGTCCAACAGATTTAGCTTCTGAAGAGCTGCGAGGTGGCCAAACATTGCTGACATTGCTCTGAGGCCTCCACCTGTTGCCATAACAGCTATTACTGGGACCTGTTAAAAACATAAGCATTATCTTCAAAAAGTTACTCACCTGCCTACTTGGAAATGTCTACTTCCAGCTTTCACAATTTCTTCAGCAGAATTTACTGGAGGACAATGAAATTAAACTGATGTTTGGCCACTCTTTACAAATACTTTCTTTAAATTGAAGCCCACATACTCAATAGATTCTGTTAATGGAGTCCCTTAGTGGATTCCCTTAAGCTTAGACGAGTTCCATATTCAGTGATTTTAACTCTCCTTTCTCCCTTTGTTCTTTATAATTGCAACAATTTGTAACGGTCAATTATCTGATTTTATAAGTAGCATCGAAAAATAAATGCAATTAAGAATTGTTTCACGGAACTCCTGAACAGAGCATGAAAAAAAAAAAAGTGTGAAGCAAGCAAAATGATTCTTTGGACAGCATCCATTCAACAAACTAAATTCCAACAAGAAAATGAACATTCACTTAAAAATTCACCCTGCATTTTGGCAGGAAAACATACTTCAGCTGGATGATTTTAGAAAATGTTTAACCTGGAATATTTTAAATTTTTATGAAAACCATTTTGAAAATAAAAGAAAAGGACCTAAAAAGGGGAGATATCAAAAATTACATAGATTCCTATGTAAGATAAACTTCAAATTCATTCACACTCCATTATCCAACCAAATTCTGATTGTCCCTCTTGGCCGTGTCTCTCGCAGCATAATAATGTCTCATAACATGCTGATGTAGTGCAATACACCACTGAGAACTTTGGGCTTGAGGAGAGGTATATTATATCCTTTGAAATTTGGCCACTGAAAAGAATGGGGGCAAGAATATTGTGGGGCACACCACTCAGAGAACTTGTGGTTTGCTGCCATTCAATTAAAACCAAAGGATATATCATCAACACGCCTAAACTAACAGAAACTTTGTAGGGAGTTGTGCCAATTCAAATTCAATAGCCTTGACATCAATTTCTATCAATAGCCCCACACCCCATGCTTGGATTTCAACTCACAGACCTCATGTTCATGTAGATCTCTTTCCAGATGAAGAACCTTTTTCAAGGCATTGGCAACCACTCTCTTCCTTTTTTGCAAGAACATGTGTTCTTCTGGGCACAGATTATACCCCAAGCGCACATCTAGTTTTTCTGTGCTGGAACATAAATAAATCCAGAGTCACAGAACTGGTGTTTAAAATGTACATTGGTCTATTTTCAGCAACTGCAGTTTATTAAACATCATAAAGAATCATGATTCACTGCTCTCATTTAGAGAATGAAATGCAGATTCCAGCTTCAAAGAAAGCAACTGCTCTGCTTCTATGTGGTCTCATTACTTTCTGATGTTTCAATATAAGTTCTACTGGCAGCTTAGGATAGCAAACACAGAAAGAGAAGGACTTCTTGGTGCTTTTCACTAACTTTGTAAGCTGAATCCTTTCTGGTTCTGCTTCATGTAATTTCTGAGCTAAGGGTGACCAGAACCTAACACTGTTTTCTATGAAGATTTGTACCATGGATCTCTAGAGTAAGAGTTCAACAAAAAAAGATAATCAAATAATTTTGTTTATATTTGTTTTCTAACTCATTATCTTACAGTGTAACTTCTTGCCTTCTCTAGCTTCTTCCTATTTATACAGCTGGAAGCACTGTTTGAGTAATATTTGTTTGAGTAATGTTTATACATTACTCTGGGTGTGGTGCTCATGTTAAACTCACTTTTCCCTCAGTCTTATTCCTGTTTCATTGTCTATTTTGAAGTAACCGCCAATCTCAGTCTTTGGTTCTTTAACTCAAAGGACATTTTGACCAAGTTCTTCACTGTTGGAAACTGTCATCATTTTTCTTGTCACCTTGGTATGACTCTCTTGCTCCAAAGGAATTGCCCCAAACTGTGCTATGTTGTGGCGACTCTTGCATGGTGACTTAACTATTGCTCTATTTTGCCTCTAGCCTTAAGCACTCCTTATATCTAAATGAAGGATATGCTGCTCTAGAATTCACTGTTCAAAGAGCAATAAAACCTTCAAAAAAAAAAAAAATAGTCCTCTTACCAATCATTTAGCTGGAGATACACCTGCAGCGGTACATTCTGTAAGCAAAGAAATGTTGTTATTAAAAAGCCAAACATAATTTAAAAGCAGGAATGAGAATGACTGTGGAAGAATTTTGAAATACTGATCTTTAGCCTTCCCAGAATACTGTCCTTACTGTGTTCTGAATAAATAAACACCAAAAACATGCTGTAGAAAAGCAAAAGAATCAGAAGGAGTAAAGGTGGTTATAGGCAGGGGCTGTGGAATAGGACTTGTACTTCACTGTGAATACCCCCATGGACAAACTTAACTTAGCAGCAGTATCACCCCACACCCTTCTTCTCTTGAGGATAAAGAACAGCAATCTCCTGCTAAGGACAGTGTTAGGAAGAGGAAATGTAAGTTTTCCAAAAGGCTGCTGGAGAAAGAAAGAATCCCCCAGGAAGGGTAGGGAATTATACAAGGTAAAATAGATATTCATTCTCCCTTCTCTTTATGAAAGTCTACTTAGAGATTCTTTTCCTCCTCCTTTCTCCTGCTATTCTTTTCCTCCTACTTTCTCCTGCTGTAAGGTCTGGAAAGGATGTCTGGATATTGTCAGCAGATTCATCTGTCCACACAGCAGTCTAATTCCTGCTTTTAAATAATCTTAAACATGTACTTATCCAGTAGTTACCATCATGACTGTAGGCAGAGAAGAATAAACCAGAAATGTTCACTGAGGGTAAGATTCATCTCATCTAAAAGTTAGGTACCTAGTCTGAGCTAGTCACCCAGGCTGACTTGAGATGGTGGAGAGAGACCAACTGAGAACCCTACCAAGATGAACCCAAAGTCTTGTTGAGGAAATGAATATCCTCATTCCACTATAAAGAACTAAAAGAAGTTGGCTTCTAAATTTAGACACTTAGGCATTTAGAACTAACCAGGATGGATCCCCAGTAACAGATTTTGTTATCAGAGAATTTATATTTCTATATAAATATGAATATTTATATATAAATAGAAATATATATAATATATATTTCTATATAAGGAAACTAACCTTTCCTTCCATTTGCAGAAAATTTCCATAGTTACTATTGAAAATTGTTTTTTTTAAATGATACAGTGTTAAATACAGCTAAAGACTATGTTGATTTAACTGAGGGTTACTTCACTTATCTCTCAAAAAGTTCATATAAATGGTGGGGCACTTACATTTCTTACATGGAGGACTACTGTCACTCTATGTCCAACGGGGAGAAATTTTAGTGGTACTGTTAAGGTGTCACTTAAATTGCTGTTGTCATCTTCCTTATCAGAAACTTTCTGCAGAGAAAAAAACCTTTTTTTTTCTTCAGAACAGAACAATCCTGTTCTTAGCTGTTTTAGGTACCACTGAAAAGGAAAAAGCATCAAGAACAGGGGTGGTATACAGTGCCTGTTACCTGCAGCTTGACTTTTAGTACTGGCTCCCACGCCTTCACGCAATGGAAGCAGAAATAATTTGTGTCCTCTGTAGTCTTCTGTGTTCCTTCATGAGATTCAGGAACCATAAGCACAACATTTTTGCCCTCTAGATAAAACAGAATTGTTCAAATTAGTCACTGCTGCTCAGGCAAATAGCTACCAAAGTCAGCAAGCCTTCTGCTGGAAGTTCATTCTCTGCGGCAGCTCCTCCATAAGCTGCCATGGGGGCAAGTGTCCCATAGCATAGGCAGAGGTCCTCACACAATCAATAGCTGGTACTACTGCCTCAGTCCCACAGCTTGGAGTGCTCACAATGTCTGCTCTTTCTCATGCCTCCACTTGAAAACTAGACAAGGGAAATCAGAATTACAACCTGAGGTTCAAATATTTTCTCTGGTCTTATTTTTTCTTTAACATGTTTTTGGTCATGTTTGTATCTTAATGTGCTTCCATCTGGAACTGACTATGATGGGGTTGATTGCTTGCATCCTCACTTCACAGGGAAATGGGGTGTACCTTTCCAGTACTTCTTGCTTTCATTTCCATCCACTTGCACTTCCAAGCAGCAAATCTCACGGGACTGTGAAAGACATCAGTGAAAAAAAGCATAAGGACACAGCAAACACCATATTTGCTGTACATAATGAAGCATCATGCAGATTTTCCTTAGCTATAATACATATCCAATAAATGAGCTTCAATGTTGGAAACAATCTAGCTACACAAGGTGAGATTCAGAGCTCATTAGCTCATGACAGTGTTGTGATAACAACCCAGAAATACAGTTTCTGGACTAACTTGTCTATACAGTAGTCCATTGCTGCAGGTGATCACATCCATTCATGCTATCCTGAAATCAAGAATCTCCGTATTACACAGTTGCCCAAACCCAGCTGCGGATGTATCGGACGATTATTTAGGAAGGGAGAGGGGAGTCACCTGACGATGACTTTCTGTGTGCTGCGGCTGTGATTAGGCTATGTGGCATCTCCTTGCTGGTCTTGATGTAGACAGATCATGGACTTATTCTGCCCTACCTCCCACCTGAGTCATTCCAGTTCACCTTGAATAATTCATGCCAGGACAGATTTTCAGTCCATCTCAGGAACAACTCACTTCAGTCATTACAGCTCTTATGCCTCATCCAGACAATGAGGGCGACAAAACAATATGTGCATTAATCTGCCTCAGAGGTAACAAAGGTTAGCAGCTGGACATCACGTGCAGGTTTGCAGTGGTTGGCATGAAGCACTTCGTACTCCTCAGCTGCTGGGCCAGCCTAAGGAGATAGGTAAGATACCGCACACTGACTAATACCATCAGAGGACTCTGTTTCAAAACCTAAAGTGGATCTGTATTAAGAAACTGATGTCCAAAAAAGTTCCTACATTAGATAGATAACCTGCCAGTCACACGCACACTGACTACTTACCAGTGCCTCCTACAGACTCATTGACAGTGACAATGAGTTAAACATTGCCACTGAGACAGTGACAACCAAACATTGACAAACCATAAATAGGAAAAATATTGAAATTCATAACATCTAAAGACCTCAAAACAAGGCTGATATTTCTGCAGCCTGCAGAGGGGAGTGTTTAAACCATAAAGAATAGGAATCATTCCACATTTTTCTCTTCATGACGAAGACCACGCTCTTATCTGTCATGGTGGCTTCTGTTCTCTCTGTAAAGTATCAGATTATTTGGGGGATGTGAAGAGAAACAAAATGACAAAATGAGGGAAAAGTGTCTCAAAGCTAAATTCATCTTACCACTAGGACATCATTGGTAAGGAGGTGCTCTGGAGGGCCAGGACTAAAAAGACAAAACGAAAAAGACAAACAAAAGCTTTGTGAGTATTTGGTATTTTCATTAAATAATAGTTTTTTGACCTTGTCTGCCTAGAGTTGAGTATGGTTAAATTACTGTCAGCAAGAGCAAGGAGAAAAGTAACTGACCATAAAAACATCAATGCTTAAAACTACATGTTAAGACACAGCAGCACAAAAAATGTATTGGTCTATGTGGAATCATACCCTGCCCTTAACAAAAATTACCATATATAACTTAGTGAAAGCAAAGACTGCTATTAATATATGATGTGCAAATATTTATTAGTAAGGACATTCCTGACCATTCCAGATTATAATTTGCAGTAGGTCACCGAAGAACAGCAAATAAGTATCAGCTCCCACTGCGCTACAAGTATGACTGGAAAACACGAGGCAAATAATAAAAAGTCTTTGTCCCATACATTTTATTTAGTAAGACCTAGATTTGTCATTTAATGGATGTACCTATTTAATGCCATGAGTAAGCTATAGAGTCTCCTAAAGCCACCTCTCATTACGGCCAAGACTCCAATGGCTCTGTGTTAAGCACATTTGTTGTCTGAAAGGACTATTAAAGCTTGACTTTCTGCAAGGACCATATTTGACCAAGCACTGCACCCAGCAGTGCAACTTCTGTCTGAGCTACAGAATGTATTTAAATGCAAACACTTGACTTCCAAGAATGAAGAATCCCCCACCTGAACCTTGTAATTTGCATGGTGAAAAATGTTCATCTTATTCCTAGTATGAATTTGCCCAATCTAGTTTCCAAGCACTGCCTCTCATTTTGTCTTTCTTATAGCTTTATTTACAATTCTTTCTTGTAATCACGCAGTCAGTATTTTTTGGACTATATTTCTTTTTTCATACTGTTAAGCTCAAATGTGTCATATAATGTAGTTTTCAATTAAACATTTTTTCAGCTAAACTTGTGATAGCATTTTGAAGTGTGATACAGTTTATTTTATGCAATTTGCTCTTCTCCAGACAATATCAATTATTGCTACTAGCAGGGGTCTTATTTTTATTTATTTGTTGATTGCATCTTTTGTCAGATTGCATCTCCTGTCAATACAACACATATTTTCTGGTCTTTTAGAAACAGCACAGTGTTCAAGGTATTATTAAACTAATATCAAGAATCAGCATAGCATTCAAGGTATTATTAAATTAATATCATTAGCATGGAGAGCATTTCTTAGCATTTTCATGCCTCCTGTATGTTGATGTTGCTCTTGTTACTATATTTCCATGATTAACATATAGGTGACAAACAAAAGGCAAGACTTGTATAAAATACACTGAAAGACAGAGTCAGCTGGGGAAGTTAAAACAAAACAAAATTGAGCCAGCAATCCCAGCTCAGTGCTGACAGGAAGAGACTTAAGAAGCTCTTCTCCCTCAGATATTACTGCTTCCTATCAGATCTATACCTCTCAACTTTGTAATTTTACTCACATTCTTTCCATTCTGAATTCCACTTCCAAACATTCCCATTTCTTAATGCATGTTTCTTTCTAGGAATAAAGGGATAAAATAAATATGACTTACTGGCGGCTGCAACAGGCTGAGAGCACACACATATCTGAAAAACCCTGTATTTCCATAGCTGACATCTGTTCTGCTAGCATGACCAAAGGAAGCTGTGCGCGTCTCAGCTCTCCAGAGCTGATACGGCAGTAAAACCACAGACTTGGGAAGGGTAGGCAAGATTAACATCCCACTGTGGGATGTAGGGAACTGAACAGACTTCCCAAATTGCAATCAGAGAGGGAAAGGCTGGCTAACACCAAAACATAACAGCTTGCTGCAAAGGACATGGGCATGGGTGCTATACATTGAAGTCCAGCAACAAATGTGACTAATACCTGTGCCACTTCCAGGGAGAGACCATTTAAATCACATTCCTGCTGAATCCAGCAAAGAAACAGGCAGAAGCACCCTCAACTGAGATGATTACTGAATTATTAGATTCCTCACAAAAGTTTAGCCACTGTCTCCCTGACAACACCAGCAACATCGGGAGCTGGCTTACACCTAAAGAATAGGCTAGGTGCCTTGTTGCTGAATACGAGCTAGCATAGGTTTTGGATTTCATTTGCTACACCGTCTCACTTCTTGGACTCATTCCCTCCTGGACATTTGCCTTAAACATTGGTGAATACTTTGCATTGTTTTGCTGCAACATTTGTCCAATAATCTTGGGCCTATGCGAATTAGAGTGAAGCTGCCAAGCGGGATGTCCTGACTCACGCAGCCGGTGGATCAGTGTTAAATGAGGTGAGCAAGCAGCCAGGAAGTGTTGCAGCCTGGTGTCTAGGGAGCCAGTGGCTGAGGAATGAATGGCCCAAGCCCTCCTAGAGTCTCTAGGAGGATTTGTTACCAGATTTCTGCATTTGGGAAGAGGCTCTTCATTTGGGTGTAGACTATCTCCCACCTGCAAGGAGCATGTAGCAGTAGCTCCATGCCTGCTCAGAGGCCCAGGTTTTGCCACAAAACTATCTTGGCTTTGTTCTCTGAATGAATCTCTTAAAAGAATGTGAAAGTTGCTAGCAGAATAGGCTTCCCTTTACTATGGGCTAGGGATATTCCGTCACCTAGGAGGAAATACAACAAGACCATCAGCAGGAGAAGCTGAAAGAATAATTTAATTCAAGCAGTAAGCAGATTGTCTTCGTGTTTTTAATAAAAAGGTGTTTTCTGAGAGATGTCCTTTAAACATGGCCAAAGTAGAAGCCCAATGGTAAAGAAATTACTTATTAGGAATATAAAAGATAAAAAATGACTGTATTTACAGATACTGGCTATTAACTCTTTTGCCCCTCACATGGTTTCATGAGAGAGAAGCTGGTTCATTTTCTGAATCTGCGAAAAGAGATTAATGATGTCATAAGAATCCAACATTTATTGATATCTGCTATGATAGGTATTGATAATGATATCAAAATTTAAGGATTTATTTCATTTTATGCAGACCCAAAACCCAATTAATGGGAGCCAATGCAGATAGCACTGTCTTGCTGAGCTCTCCCTGAAATTTCACTCCTTACCTCTGATTTCAAAGCAAAAGTCTCACGGACTGTCCTTCCAGGTTTGACTCTAGCAACATTAAAAAGAACTGTGAACTGCATGTCATCTTTGGTGAGAGGATCTTCGTCACACACTGCCAATTCTAAGACGTTCTGGTAGTAGAAGAAAACATACAAGAACTCTAGCAAGCTGCTCTTACATAGAAACAGAAAGAAAAAGGTATGGACTTTTGCAGATGGTTGACTAGCCCAGTGGTAAAGATAAAAGGAATTCGTGCTTTCATTCAGGTGTCTGCTAATATAGGATACAGTGGTTAACTGAACTCAATGTTGAGAAGCGGATCATGGAACAGAAGACAACTACCCGTATCCGTGAGTTCCCACAATCCCAAGATAGAAAAGACATCAGTGCTCTGTGCCATTCTGATAACCAGTCCAAAAAACACTTTTTCAGTTTCTTCATCCCCAAAGTTCTCTCAGGTACACAGCCTAGGGTAGGATTAACCTACCTGAATCAGCTGAAGTCACTGCAGCATCACTGTGTCTGTTATTCCATACTAACCAGACAGCTGAAATTCTGTGGCAGCACCATTTTCTTAAGTTACTTAGCACATTTGATCAATAGAGTGTTAAGGGAGGATTCCCAGCTATTCAAAAGGGTATTACTACCTCAACTTCACTCTGGATCCTAAAGTAGAAAGTCTCATTCCAGACAGGGTCATCAGAATTCTTGACGGTTTTGGTCTGAAGCTTTTCATTTGAAGCAGATGGCAGCCACAAGCGCACATAGCAGTCTGATGCAGTCACTGCAGCAGAAAAATATTAAAAATCTGATGCCAATATTATAGATGAAAAGAGGGGTAAGGCCATGAATAATATTTTTTTCTTTCTTTTCTGGATAAGTAAGGAGATAATTGGCTGGAAGTAACTGAGAAGCATCTTACTCCACTATCTCATTCCAGAATAACTACAAAGGATAAATGTATATATTTATACAGACAAGTACACTAAGAGCAATATCTCCTGTGTGAAGAAAAAGAGGTATAGAAGACTATGATCAAGGTTCTTCAGGCATATTCTCTACAATTCCAGCCAACTATGCTTAAAAAAGATCAGTAGAAATGGATGCTAATTCCAAAAATGGCTACTAGAATAACCAAAAGAAAGGAGAACATATTGTTACAGAGGAGATCGGATGAGACTAGCTTGTTCTGACTAGTGACATAGACATATAAAGGGGACAGGACTGCTGTCTAGATGGGTAGATACTAGAGAAGATCCATCACAGCTAAAGGCCAATGGAGACTCAAGAGCACAAGGGCATGAGCTTGTCAAAAACCTTCATACAAATTCCAGCCTAAACTTATTCCCCATCATTAGAGCGGTTGTTAGTTTTTTGAGCAGACATCCAGTGTGAGCAGTTGGGATGGGAAAGCACATTTACTTTGCGGAGCTTGACAGCGTTGTGAAAGGAAATCTTCAGGGTGATGTCTTTCAGAGCGGGAGTCTGGACTTGACCGAGGAAGTTTACTGCAGCCCGAGAAGCCTAAATACTTCAGACTGGTATCAAGCAGTGAATAACATTTCCGCGCAAGGTTTTGGCAGGAAAGTAGAACAGACCCTTCAATGGAGTAGATAGAAGAGATCATTGAAAATCTTAGAAATAAAGGCCTTGTCACCACATAATCTTTCTAGTGTCTATCTCTAGATGTTGCTGCATGATATACCCACAGAAGTTGAAGCCATTCAGCAGTTACACAACCAACAGGGAATTCACACTCCCTGGACTCTCTTGAAGCCAGGCTTTACGCCAGATGCTGCTTAGCTCTGACCCGTAAGATGTGAATAGTCTCAGCTGTAACTCAGATAACACGACATTTTTCACTATGGGAATATGCAGGCCAGAGGTTTCAAGAGTGCAAAAAGAGGCAGCTCAGGGTCTTTGCCTTGACTGAGGAATCCACAGGAGACCTTTGCAGCTAAGTGGCTGCTCCATGATACGCTTTTGAGAGGGGTCAGAGGAAGCTATGAGAGTGGCATAATGAACTAAAGAAAGGTGAATACAAAAGTTATACACAGACAAGTTCATTTCACCTGCATGTTCAGCTCATGTTCGGGCTCTGCAGGTGACTGTCTTTATCCAGAAATTATCAATATAATTTAATATGACTGGTGATCACAGGACAACAAATATTCCAAATGACAACAGACTTTAAAAGGGTTGGAATTCTTTAATTTATCTGTGACACTGGGGCATAATTGATACATTTTAATAAAAGGTTTCCATGCATGTGGGCTGTGTGGTGAAACTCCAATTCACGACATTATTTATACCCATTCTGAACATCAAAACAAGTAACTTGAAGCAGATTTACAGATCCTACTGTCCTCACAAGGGCTACCTTCTCTTCCTTCTCCTACAGGTCCAGCAAAATCATTTGGGAGTCTTGTGTTTTACCAGCTTCCTGAAACGCATTCTACATAGGGCCTCCAACCTAATGGTACCTCAAGCATTTGATCTAATTATAGCCTGGCACTAGCACCTGGATAGCTTTGCTTTATGCATGTCAATTATTTACCTTTAGAATTCAGAAATATTGCCCAGGGTGCATAAACTCTAGAGGTGAGAAAAGAAAACAAGCAAACCACAACTCACACAGGTCTCTCGACTTGATGTTCTTGGCTTGTATGACTCTTACAGAAAGCAGGTGCATGGGACAGACCTTCATCTGAAGAGAAAACAAATGCAATGAGTTTTATCAGCTCCAAATACAAAAATTTAATGTATTTGTAATAATACAGGGTATAGTTTGTCTATGAGAAGTGAGAGAGCTAATCTCCGCTGTTAATATGCCATGCTGAGATGACAGCATGATGGCGCAGGGGGCTATTTACTAAATAGCCTGATTAGGCAAAGAAGAAGTTAGGGGTTCAGCTAATGTCATGGCAAGCTCTGCAGTCATCCCAGGGGTGCCTCTTTTCATGCAATCATGGACTTGCTGATGGTTGTGCTGCCCATCTGCTATACGTGTGCTACAGCTAGGTCAATATTGGGCCTGTGCAAGGCAACACCAGTAACTGGCAGCTGTCTGCCTGGGTCTAGCACAGCGATGACACAAGGCCAGAACAGGGCAGTTACTAAAGTGCTTTAAAAACTTCTGATAGGCAGGGCTCAATCTTCCCAATGCTCCTAAATAGACTTTTAGAAATTGGCTCCTAAATAGCTCACTGAGAGGCATCCAGAGGAACGCACCATTCACCTTGTGGTTGGACCACTGGCTCAGCAGAGACGAAACAAAAAGCGCCCTGCTTTGGAGGCAAAGCGTCACCAAACGCCCTATCCTTAAATATTTTTAAAAGCAGGTAAGACTTTGGGTACTTCAGCAGTGGGGCTGCTTCACTTCCTGACATGGGATTTACTTTTACCGCAGGCTGGCCAGCTCTCATTGCAGTGCTTGTTCCTCATTACTTGATCTTAGCTCTGACAAATTAAGCTCCCCAACCTAGGCTGGTCAGGTAGTATTTGTCATTTTAAAAAGATGTTCTGTGAAGCCTGCATCTCTCTTTTTTTGTCATTCACAGGCATGAATGAACCACATTAAATGTATAAACATTTAACAATTTGAATAATATATGTGAGAAAATATTTCCTTTTAAAAAATATTAATACATTTTATTAATACATTATTAGAATATTAATATTTTATCAATAGTAAGCAATAAAAAGATACTGTCCTGCTAACACTGATAAATTAAAACAGGCCCACACCTCATTTGAAGCATTCCACTATTTTGTATAGCAGTTAAATCTAAACACTGACTGAAATATCACATCTCCTTGTCTAAAACGAAGTACCAATTACAGTGTAATGAAGGAATTTCTGCTTTGTTTTGAAAGGTGGCACCATTTTCTTGACACCAAAATCATCAACTTCAAAGTTACCTAAGGGCTGGGGAGCTGGGGTTCTCTATAGAAGGATTTACAATAGTTAATCTAAATTTGCTTTAAGGTGGGGCAGAGGCTATTGAACATTTCATCAGTAATGAGAATAATTGTCATTTGGTTTTATTCAAGTTTGTTTAGAGGGACACTATACTACATCAAATGAAGACAATTTGGATCCTGAATACGCATATTCAAATAAAGGATTATTAAATTTTATGATGTCATTTTAAAGTTTAAAATTTAAAAATGTCATTTAAATACAGATTAATAGTCGAGTCACCATAAGCACAGAAAGCCGGTTGTTAATTCCATAGAACTCAGACAGCACTTTGTCTCTTGGCCTTTTAATGTTTAATGTAAATTTATTGTTGAAAAATGTATGATACATTTGTTCTTACATGACAAGAACTTCTTCTACTGTGCTTTATCCCTATTAGAAACTGATAATAATTAAAATTTTCTATGTTTCACTGATTATAGACATTACAAGTTCCAGTTAGGATACTTCCAAGTTATTCCAGATGCCCACTAGAAGACTTTGATTTCAATTTTCCCATGCAAACAGTACTAACTGGAATACCCTGGCTGCATTCCCAGTGTCTTTCATTTCATTATACTGGATTATATATTCAGTTACAGTGCTGACCGTTTTTTTAATTAATATGTTAATTCTGTGTCATTTTGCAATCAACTTCCCCCTTGCTCAACAGACACCCAAAGCATTCTCAGAATCTGCCTTCACCAGAGAACTGGATATTTGTATACAACTTGCCCTGCACCTTCTGTGATAAAAATTGCACATTTACTGACGAAAATGACACAAGAGCAGCAGTTCATCATCAAAGTGCTCTGAATTGTGATGTACATCCTCCTTTTTTTATCCTTTCCCACCAGACTCAGTGAGTGCCTCACTTCTCCTCCCTTCCCTTTCAACAGCAATCAGTGTCTCACTTAACATCATCTGCCAAAAGAAACATCATTACTCCTGATTTGGTGCAGTGTAGTCCCTGTGCTGTTACAGAGCAGAAGTTGAACTGGTTTAGATGGGGAACTGGGACATACTAAACCACAGGGGCTGTCCCACAGGGACAAATCTCCAAGGGAAGCCAGAAGCCATCCAGCTCTTCAGGTGGCAATTAATCCAATCTGAGCTAACTGTGTCCAAAACTGGGCCAATGTTTTTTCCAGGAGAAAAAGCCTGGGCTCATTTTCTTCTACAGTGGTCCAATTTGATTGGCCTAGAATAACCACGTTGCCTAAAATGCTGACATACTTTTTTAGAAGAAAAAAAAAATCAAAAGTGTGCATAGAGATAACACTTGCTATTTTCACAGCATGAAAAGGAACAGGCAGTATCATAATTAATGGAAATGGATAAGCACAGGCACCGCATGTGGATCCCTCTCCTGACAGTCTTGCAGTAGGCTGCTCCTGCTCACTTCAGCTCACTTCCCTACGTGCACCAGCACTTCCCACGCAGGCACAGAGACTGCAACAAAACTTCTCTGTAAACATCTAGGGTCAAATGCAGCTTTCAGATTTTGGAATTTTTTCCTGATTTTTGTCTGAAAATGCAGCATTTTGCTGCATTTTGCCTGAAAATTAATAGTAGCAGACTGAGGCCAACAGCAGGATTCAGCTACCTGTCTATATTTGCATCCTAGAGCTACATGTGTACATTTGCATCCTGGATTACAACAGGTGAGACCAATAAATATCAGCATGTCTGAAGATACAAAGAATAGGCTAAAAAATGCAGAAAAAAACCAAAGTCTTTCCACTGGATTGCATTTAGTACTTAACTATTTTTCTGAACTCTCAAATCAACTGGTGAGGAGGGCACTTCAGATCTAAAATACAGAAAATTTAATAATCATGAAATGAAGCACAGATCCTCAGTCCAGCAGAATCCCCACATCAAAGCTTAAAGGACTGAAAATTCACATCCATTGCCAAGATCTTAATGGTTATAATGATAATTATTTCCTGGCCTATGCGTGGCTTACAGAGAACAGTCACATGCCTGTCACCTCCAAAAAGACACTTCTGCTTACAGGCAGTTAGTCACTTCAAGTCACTTCATCCCCAAAACACAGCTTTGAGCTTTGAGCACGTGGGCTTTTGAAATTCATTAAGAATGAAGAGTTCATTGAAACTGTCTTTGGATGCCAGTGGAAGAAGCAGAACCCAACTCGCACCCTTGGCTGCCTCTCCATGCTGCTCCTAGAAGGAAGCCTCCCAACTACCTTTCATTGATAATTTCTTCTTCCAGGAGATAAGTTTCTGCAAACTGGGGAAACTTCCCACCAGCACCACCTTCTCAAGCTCTTTCTTTTAGAAAAAATCTTTGGTTTATACATACTGGAAGCTAACTGGAATGTCAGCATTTCACCTCCCCACCATGAAACCTAAGCCAATCACTGGGATAACACCAGGTTTTTGTGCAGAGAGTTTGCTCTCAGGGTTTTGACATTCTGTAAATAGCTCTAAGGACATCATTCAACTTTATCATGAATTACTACTTCCATTCATGAACTGCTGCTTTTGTTATTTCAATAAAGTACAGGAGGAGGAGATGTTCAGTATCTTATATACAAGATCTGTCACCATTATATTTCCACTTCTTACCACTTCTTCTATTTTAGATACTGAGAATTTGCTTTACCCACAATTTGTAGGAGATCTACCAAATTAAGATTAAATCCATAAGCATTCCACTATTAAAAAAAGCCTTCATGAACAGCTTGGTTCCATAACCCTCTTTTCGACATAGATTCTTTACTAGTTAACATGGGCTGAGTGTATTAGCCCCTTCATCAGTGAGAATTCTGCTATTAGCTTGGACTGAAACTGGCAGAATTGAAAGCTGGGGACAGAGCCAGATGGTGGCAAAAGGCACTGGCAAAAGAAACGCACAAATACAGAAGTGGGGATAGAAGGACAGCGCATGACCATTTCCTAGAGAACGACAACTATCAAAAATCTTTATTACTGGAAGCTGAACACACTGTTTGTCAATCTAATTTACTTTACAAATATTTACTGTAATTTCCTATTATCACTAAGATCGTTTCAAGAGTTATCATGGATTTGAGATGTAGCCCCTCTTCATTTTATCTCTTTACAGTAGCTAGGGACTATGGCTTTACTTAGACAGAATTTCTCAGTATTTTACCACCTAACAATTTTTCCATGGCTCATAAAACTGCTGAAGACCTATTACACTTGTCTGAGCACAGAAAAGCTGTTGTTATATTAAAAGCATTCCTAAGAAGTTGTAAAGTAATACTGCCCATCACTTCCACGCTAACTCGCTAGTCTTTCTAAACAATTAAAAATAAACTAAAAGACTTTTAGTAGGCCTTCCTAAGGAGTACAGAGTACTCAACACTTTCTAAGCAATTCACTTCTTTTGATTTAAAAGGGAAAAAAAAAAGAACACATAAACCCACTATCCTCTGACTTCTGTCTATTTTCCAGCTCATGCACCCTGAAAAATGCATTTGCCTGGCAGAATGGCATAGCTACCTCTATTATTGTATGGATATACCGCTTTGAGAACAGAAACTTCCTGACCTGAAGCTAGGCTTGTCCTGTAACCTTGTAGCTATGTTGCCTATTAATCAGTACGCTGACTATACTCATTTAAAAGCAATTATGGCATCAGGATTAGATGCAAAAAAAAATGTGCTTTTCCTGTTACAGATCCTTTCTAGATCAACTTGTATATAAGCTGTCTACTCATTTCTTAGATCTCGAGTTGCCTTAATACATATAATATAGATATATAATATGAACATATAGTATTTATATCTGAGACAGATAATTCTGTATATCAACAAATATAGATTCGATATAAATTCTAGCCAGGGAGTATATTACATACATATATAATTTATATTATTTTTCTTGAACTTCTGATGTTCAAATATTTGTATCTATCATTCAGATCTGTGTATTCAAATTACTGGGATTTTCCTGCATCTTTACCTGCAAAGATTTCTGTGGCATTAAGAATATTATTAAATATTGGCATTAATAATATTATTAAATATTCTTTAGTCTAAACAATTACTGACTCCATAAGCCATAGTATGTAATACTGCTTTTCACCATATTTAAAACCCATGAAAGACCTTTTTATTTTTTCACTGATGTAAAATTTGACATCAAGGTTGATCCATGAAGAATGGGTAGTTTGTAAATAACTCAAATCATGCATTTCAAACACTGCACCTCTTTCTAAAGAAATAAGAAATACATGAGAAAATAACTCATAGCCAACAATTCTGTTCCTTTTCTATTAAAAACTATCACTTTAAACCTCTGAATGGAACCTACCATTGGGAAACTCAAGCCCAGACATGACGGACTTCCCCCAGAACCGCAGCTGTTGTTAAACATTGCATTTAAGACAGCTAAAATCAGCCAAGCACTTCATTAGCACTCCCCCTGCAGCTAAAGCAGCTTACCCTGTGCCTTGCTGCTAGGAAAAGCTGTTTATTTTTGTTAGCCGGGGCGAGCAGCAAACATGTGCTGCGGCGAGCGCGCAGCCGGGCTGTGGCGTTTCCATTCTCACAGCGTGTTAAAGCCATCCACACCAGCCCTCTTCCTCCCTGGCGTGCCAGGGCCCAGTATCGCCTCACGATAGAGGGAAAGGGCCCTGGCTGCGCTGAGGCTACCTCGCATATTGGATAAAGAAGGGAAAAGCACGTTTGGGAAAGCCAAGATGAGCCCGTGTTTCCGCGGGCCTCCACCCCTCGAGGTGCGCAAGGAGGCAGGAGCGGGCGGGCGAGGAAGGGAAGAGGCAGTTCCCAGGAGGAAGGTGCCAGGCCCCGGCAGACGGCACGGCCACCAGCTCTTACCTTGGCCGGTGGGCTCCCCATGGCACACAGGCTGGCAGCAGCAAAGCCAATTTGGTTAACAACAGGCCTGTGGGCTGGCACGCGCTCTCCCCTCTTGTTGTTGCTGCTGAAACAACCTGAAGGACACATATAATTTATACAGGCGCCGGGCTCCACCCTCTGCCTCCTCTGTGTGGAGAGGAGAGGCTGCCTACGTCTGAGACGGAGAGATCCGCCGTGTCAGAGGTGACAGGAATGCTGCAGGGATCGCAGCTCTGCATGTTGCTTTACTACCTCTGACAATTTGCTCTTATCCCAACACGACCTGCCAGGATTAAAGGGGGATGCTGCCATGTTCAGAGAGTCTCCCCACTTCTCCTTTTTCTTCCATCTTCAGTTCTTCCACAACTCCAGTTAAAAAGAGGGAAGGGATAGGTGAATCTCACCTATTGCAATTTCTAGTGCAAGGCTCTTTTCAGCTCTTTTTACAGTGAGGACTTGTTTTAATATATTGGTGTGAACCTTTCTGCTAAACAGTGCCTCAAGCTTTCTTATATGGCAGTACCTACTGGAAGAGATGTGTGGCCAACTCACCGGTACCAGTGGAGGGAACACTACCTGCCTCCTGGGCTTGTTCCTTCTGCCCCTTTCCATAAGAAGAAGATGACAACTTAACATCTCCGAGCTTCCCATGCGATGACCCCACCAGCTTGTTGCTGACAGCAGTGAGGCATCCCCTGGAGAAGCCATGGGCACAGCTTCTTCCAACCTTTCCCATGCCTAGCTGGGAGACAGTCTGTGCAGTGTCTGTTAGGACACAACTCCAGACTATCTGTTCTGGCTGTAGCTTAATCCAAACTTAAAATTTCTTGTTGGATATTCTGCAAATCCAGTCTCAGAAGTAAATTCATGGTGGCCTTTAGCCTATGTCCATTTTTCCTGCATGAGCACAGCAGGATCATATGCACAAAGACATGTGGCCAAACCTCACCATACCACCAGCAGACACCTTACATGGGAGAGGCAAGACCAAATTTGGTTGAACAGTGGTTCTGAGCTTGAATTTTTGAGAGAAAAGGTGGAATGTAACCAAAACAATTATCTAAGAAAATTATGTATTTCAAATCTTTTGGCTTTAGTTAAATTCAAATACATACCATAGATTCACCTCCAAATTGTATTTAAAAGCATCTCCCATTAAATATTGTCATCAGCGGAAAATCAGTTCTAGTCATATGCTCCTGGGCTCATGCTAGGAACAATCCACAGCTCAAATAAACATTTTCAGAAAGACTCTGATGCGGCTGGCAATATAGTCACCATGCTACAGAGGTCATGACTGCATACAGGACTAGCTGGGTAACAGAGGAAGAAGCTGAGTGTATAGTTAGGTTGTCATCTTTGAAATATCAAGGAAAAAAATAAAAGATATATAGCCACTTAAATAAAACTCTGCATGTATGGACTGCAGATTGAAGGGCTTGAAGGAAAGCTTTAAAGACCCTAGTAAAATGAGCCAAACTTAATAAGTCAGCTGAGGACATGCAGAGCAGTTAACCACAGGCTCTCATGCTCTGCACTATCATTGCTTAGTCACGTTCACAGGAACAGTCAGTCCTGCAGTGTAAGCATTCTTCTTCATGCTTCCTTGCGCACAACAGCCTTTAACATCCAATTTTCAGTGGTACAAAAAAGCAAAGGAAAAGCTCTTATTCAGAGAGGAGTTTGGATTTCCCCCTCCACACTCCTGGTGTAGCTTTGAGCACAAGTTCTGTTGTAGCTAAATTGTGAGTGTGAGATAGCAGGCTGAAAATGTGTCTCCTAAACAGTAAGCAAATGGAGAAACAGAGAAAAATGAACTTCACTCAAAGAGGAGTTTGTCCACCTGGAAACAGAGCAACAAATTAAATATGGGGTAGCTGCAGCAAGCAGACAGAGACTTTAATGGAAGAAAAAGGAATAATAATAATTTTTTTTTAAAAAAAAAAAGCTCCCAAGCTGCCCTCAAATCAAGGTGCAAAATTATTCTGGAGATCTATGGGGCTAATTTTTCCAACAGCCCCTCAAAAACATGTTTCCAGTAAAGCAGCATGGCCAAAATACATAAAGAATTTGTTGCTGCTTGTCAACAAACACACCAACGAGTACCACATACATTTCCATCTGGATATGAGGGGGATGGTCTAGGGGATGGCAGAACTAACTGTAGATCCACAAAGAGGTAGAGAATGTGGAAAGTGAAGAAAATAATGTCAGCTGCATAAAGAAAAGAGAAATCCAAAGGGTTAAATCAAAGGCAATGAAGCCATCACTCTGTGCCCTAGTGAACTAGCGAAACAGAAGGCAATATCTTCAAGCAGGTACATAAAGTGCTTTCTATTTGAATAGGTAGACTTAATCATTTTGAGCTTGTATTAATGGAGTTGTTTAGATTCAGAAACTATGACACCATGTCTATGGTTACAACTGGAAAATCATTCTTCATGAGACAAAGGAAGGGGGTGCTAAAAAGATTGTAAAGATTAACTAACGTGGTCTCATTCTCTTCTCTATAACTGAGCCCTATTTCTTTGCTTACTTAGTTAATAAAGCACTAAAAAAAAACTAAGGGAAAAAAAATGCATAAAAAGGCATGCCGAACCACACAGATTAAGTTGCTTCATGTACTGTCTACCTGATGGTGCTCAGATAATGCATACCAGAGACAGTATGAAACAAAATGAGAATGGAAGGAAAGCAAGCCCATGCTGTTCCCAGCACGTACCAAATAGGAGCTAATTAATACAGTGTTCTGCTTTATGCAGCTTAGCCAGTGGGCTGCCCATTAGCAGCCCCTTGCAGAAACTACTCGCAGTCACAGTGAACCTGCCAGAAGCAGAGCAGTAGTGTGAGAGCAGCTCACACTAAATGGCTGTCACTTGTATCATCTTACTGCTGGCATAAACTGAAAAGCTAACTGGGACAGAGCTTACAAAAGGTGCTGAAGACTCATTGGGTGGAGTTCGTTACTTATTCCAGCAATAGCAATAGCACAGCTAAATTTCACACAATCACGTCTTGACTTTGGTGTACAAAGAATGCCCGCAGTGCAGCCTTGTCTTCAGACTCTTCCATGGTTGATCCCAAAAGCTTCTCAAACAAGGATGGTAATTACTGGGAGACTCATCTCCTAGTATTTTGTATGAGAACATTTGTTTATTTACCTCATGAGAAGCTGTTAAGTACAGCTGAGTGATGGATCTTTCTAGGGCTTGATGCAGCTACGTCATTTAGGGAACAGTGGTGGAAGACTTCATTGCTTTGCAAAGACTGTTCATTGCACCAGGCAGTGACAATGAAAGATGACGGCCACTTTCTCCTTGCCTTGTACATCAGCTCCTGCATTGTTCAGTTCAGTGGCTGGGTTAGAAAAGTGACTGTAATCTGAGAAAATAATTGGATGTAGCCAAAATCAAACCAAAAATTTTCAAAATATTTTAAGGAATTCTGGGGAGAAAAAAAAAGATATTTTTCTCTCTACCTTACCCTACAAATTTCTTTTTCACATATATATTATTTAACCATTGTGAGAAAACAACCAAAAAAGCAAAACATGTATTAAAATGCATATTAGGTGTTCAATTGAACATTGCCATGGTGAAACTGAGAGTTGAAAAGCAGAACCTCAAGAAATGCCAGATTTATTAGGCCTTTCTGAAGTGAAACATTTTATTTTGAAATAAAAATCTTTCAAACTTTCAGGGTTCCCCCCCACATAGTTTTACTGAGCAAAGCAACACAGCTAGTTTGAAATTATTTTAGTTCGTTAGATACCTTGCAGTCATCCCCTTTTCAGAATACCTAAAGAAGTTAATTCTAACAAAGTGCCGAGTTGTCTTTCTGAATAGTAGTCAGGTGATAGCAGCACTAATAAGTGAACACTATTTCTGGCTATCAAGAATTAAATCTATTTTAGAAAAGTAAAAGCTGCTATATCCTCTTTACCCATCTCCTGAATCACTGCAATCTTAAATAAATATATGATATGGTAAAGCCAGTATCACTTGCTCTTTATCCTGTCCCATGTAAGAAAAGAGCTAGTAATTTCCTTAGGTACTTTGCAGGTGTGGGTGTCAATGTGGCACAAGGTGATGATCTTTGTCACTTCAAAATGATAGGAAACTGCTGATTATTTATCTGGGGAATTATCTGAGGACTGGAGGCCTATCTTTCCAAGACACACTGATGTAAAGCCACACGTTGAAACTCGTGCTTATGTTTAGAAATTTTTCATTTATTTTAAACTTAAGAGATTGTAGAGCACCTAACTGAAATAACTGAGTAAGACTTCTCAATGTAATTCCACTCAAGCCAGTTTCTGAGTCGTTTATCTTCAGATCTTACTCAAATAGCCTGGCACTGATGTCAGTAGGAAACTGCTTGAGTAAAGGCTTCAGAAGAGTTAAGTAAGTATTACACTTCACCACTTGGCTGACAGGAAGAATTGATTTATGGTTATGGTATTTGGTTTCAGACCATCAAGAGAGGGGTTTCTTTCTTAGTTCTTCACAAATATCACTCAGATAGTCACTTTTTTAGAATCAAGAGAATAACACTTCTTTTCTGCTACTGTTTCTCAGTCTATGTAAGTTCTGTGGGGCAAGAACTACTGACAAAATGTTTCCTGCTCACTGTCATTATACAGGGTGAGAGTAATTAAAAAGCAAGGCTAACTATGATAGCATGACACATGTAGCAGTATTTCCTTTCTAACCCTGTCACTGTGTAACAGCTGAATCCTCATGGCCTCATTTAACCCTTACTCAGCCAAAGTTTCCAGTAAGATCCGATATGATTTTATTCAAGGTTTTACATATTTGGAATAAAGACAGGATAGGATCTGAGCACAGCCCTTAGACATTGTCTCAGAAAGGGCTGGGAGATATATAAGAATTTATTTCAGATAATATGCAAGTCATCAGAGGTTCATCTCACTCACTCCTGGCAGTAACTTGCTATCCAAATAGCCCTCCAAAATTAACAAGACTAAAGACAGTAGTATT